ACATCGAATGTTATAAGCAAATATTTATTTTTACTAGCATATATATTCGGCATTTAACTTATGGAACAGTGAACATGACTAATGTATCTCAGCTAAAGTTGCATCGATACGCGTATACGATACCGATACAATTATAGATCTATTCCGATACCGACATCAAAAATTCAAAGAAAGCTGGGAAAATAGAGAAACTATAAAAAATCACGTCACAATTAGAATCACTAAGAAATTAAGCATACAAACATCTAGCCAAGTAGTACAATCCTCACATATGTCGGCATACGTTTTGTATTTTTGTTCGAAGTCACGTAACACAGAGTTCAAAAATAGTAATAAATATACGTAAAAATATATTGGTCACTGTCAATAGCCCTATTAACCCTTAACTGGTGACATGGTTTTTTTGTAACGTGACTGGTGACGAGCGGTCTGAGAAGCCGCTGCCGTTTTATGCTTTATAATTTAGTAATTAAGTAGAATATATTTCCTTAGTGTTAAGAAATAGATAAAAGACATATTAAAGAATAAAATAAAACGACGATATAAACAATTTATGTATTTTAATTATAATAAACTTTAATCACAATTTAGGTAGTCTCTTTAACTGAAAATTTGAGGTGAGATCAACAATTACTCATAAAATCTAATAAAAATAAAAATAAATGTAACAAAAACAATAGTTTTCTTAAAATTAACATAATATCAAACCTTAAAAAAAATATTAAGTAATTGTGAGTACCATTTCACTAAAATGACAATGGGTAAACTTTGGTTATTTTTATTGACAGTCTGGGCACAATTTCTTCGCACATTGCAAGCACACATGCTTTTTACATGACATACACTGATAATTCGATTTACGATTTTACTTGGGTGGACAACTAAAACAGGTTTTCCTTGTTTTTGGTCTATATTCGGAGGATTGTGGTTCAGGTGGCAAATCAGACCCTAAAATACGCACCAAGTTAATCCGTATATCACGTGAAATATGAGTATTATAAACTCTGCGTTGCATGTGCAGTAAAACCGCTTTTCTGGCTAATGTCTTAATGAATTGTCCTCTATCAATAGAATGGGCACCATCAGCTTGGTATAAAATATGTGCATTTACTGAACTTACATCCAATATTCGGAAAAATATCACCATGGGCAATGATACATCATCAGTATCACTTTCTGAAACCTCATACGCCATTGGTTTGTTCTGGATAGTGGTGTGACGTGTAGCCGGCTCATCGTCTTCAGAGGCACTTTCTTCAGAATTCGAGTTGTGATCACTTTCCTCGGGGACGAAATTTCCAGGAATATCTTCAGCTTCCGATCCGCTCGAATCTTCCTCAGCCAGAAAGTCTTCAATTTGACGGCTAGTTAAGGCCTCAGACTCCTTACGCTTCCTTTTTGGAGGTTCTAAACTATCCATAGCAATAAATAACTGTGAAAAACGAAAAAATACAATATACCAAATTAACGTTAAAAAGTTGCGTAATTGGTGACATAAGGTCTGAGAGGCCGCTTCGAAACTTTGTATCGATGTAACTTACCGATATGAGCCGGTGCAACACAGCTTTCTTACTCCACGGCGTAGACGCAACTAAACTTGAAGCTACTCAGGCGCACAAACACAGGAAGCGCGGGGAACGGGGTGAAATGAAGTATCACTAACAACGCTCGGCCTGTGAGACCGCTTGTCACCAGTTAAGGGTTAAGCGCGGCTACCCACCTATGCTAAAATCTCTCTACAAAACTTGATGCAGACCGCTTACACACCTAGTATACGACGTGGGAGCAAATCTTGTTACTCAACAGAATACTGTATATTTGACTATCCAAAACTACCAAATTTCTCCCTGTTGATTTTAAACTTTAATCTGCTCATAGCTACGTCGAAAATGTTAGCGTAAATTTGAATCTGTGGAAACATGATGTGCCGCTGTGTGTACAATGTTCTTGGTGCGATATACACATGCGTAACATTATCCAGATCAATTCTGAAGATCGATAAGATATATCTTGGGATAAGCATAAATTGTGCTACTAATATTTTTGTTGTTTGTGTTATGGATTGGTAGGTAAATATTTTTATCTTATAGAAAGATACTTTTTAATAAAGTCTTCCAACTCAGATGACCGTAATGAAATTCAAATTTGTAACTTTTCTCCAATCGATGGTCTATTGGTACAAATAGAAATAAATATCAATATCAGTGCAGTGAGCCCCGCTTACTGCTTATACTGAGCTGAGTCCAGCTTGGCGACACACAATGACACATTAATTATTATTTGTATCTCAGTGTCTTCGTTTTGTATCTTTTTTTTCCTTTTTGTTGTTATTTTTGTCATTTTTCTGTCATATTTGTAAACTGTATTGAAATTGTGTATGTGATGTGTTGCCAAATAATAACTTATTCTATTCTATTTTATTCTATATAGCAGCGTAAATTCGAAATTCATCAGAACAATAATGTTTTGTTTGAAACTGACATCAGTAATGTGTATTATTTATTACTTTTCGTGTAATATCCTCGAAAATGTAAAGTAGAAACGATAAATTTCAATGATTTATGATAAACAATAATTCATTCTCATCCACTTACGATAATTTTAAATTCTTGTCCATATTATTAAAATGCTTAGGTTATTTAAAAAATAAAGCATTTATGAGGCAGGTCTTTGTATCACTCTTTTCTCGATTACCTTGAATTGATTTAGCAGAGTTTAGATTGAAATCTAATGCAATTTACTATCAGTATAATAGTCAATGTTTTTGAAGCATTGTTAAAATATATCTAATTTATTTCAATTATCCTACAGTATGATCAAAAACGCATTTGTCTCATTATATACTTATTATATATATATCTATTTTTGTTCAGGCCTTCTGAATACAAAATGTATCAAAATCATATGTCATTGTCCTGCATGTCTTTCTATTATTATATGTTTGAATAATAAAAAACAATTTATTTAGTTTAAATTTGGTTTCAACAAATCCAAACATTGTTTTATGTTTAATACTAAGACAGTAGTACTACAAAAAATCCTAGAAAGTTCATACTTCCGAACAGGTCTACATATATATAAAATGGATATGCCGCTAAGTATCCGGCGCTGTCGTTGTAGAGTTACACCCGGTTTCTGAATTGAGCATTTAAAGTAAAGCCCTTCTCAAACCGTACTTAGGTATTCGTTTCTGATTTGAAAATTTTTAATGGTCAGTTGATAGCAGTTTGATATAACAAGGACTTTTGAAACGTAAAAAACTTAAGTTATTGAGAAGAATCAGTTGAGATTTTTTCATTTCTCAATTCATAAACCGGTCGTTAGAGGTTCAATAAAATAAAACCGTCTTCAAAAAGTAATATTTATGTTACTCAATTGAACCTCTTAATGTTGTGACTAATGTACAATGTTGTGTGAACGGAAGATTACTATAATGACATCGTTCGTTTGTTGCCAATGCGCTGTTGTTTTCGAAGACTTCACCGTTATTTGATTTTTTTTTATCTTGTGAAGCTAATCTCATGTATAGTGTGTCGTCCACTGATTATATTACGTGAACGCCTTGTCACGTCACTCAGCCGGGTGGGCGGCCTTCGCCGACAGAGCGTCCGCGGTACCAGTCACGAACGGACGTCTCCCTTGTACTTATTTATTTATTTGTTATGCGTATCAAAATACGTTAAAATTTACTTATAAAAATAATTATAAAGTTCTATATGAATATTCCCTATTCTGTATACCTTTAAATTCGTAGCAACTATGTAGACGTTTCATCATTATCAGCCCTTTTACGTTCCCACTACAGGGGCTCAGGCCTTCCTTATGGATGGTTAAGGAGGATGGGCCCTGACCCTCCACGATGGCTCAATGCGGATTGGAGGGTGGATATTAACGACTGCAAATACAACCGGGACCAATAGCTTTCCGAAGCACGGAGTAGCTCGAGATAATAATTTTTTGGTCACCTATCCCTTGATCAACCCTTACGCAAGTTGCTTAATTAACAACAACGATCGTGGGCTGCGGCGCTTATCCACTACGCCACCGAGCTACATTAGTAGACGTTTAGGACATGTTTTTTAAATAGTTTTTATTTAAGTTTTGGGGTTTTAAGAAAGCAGTTAATCGTTTTGAATATTATGATATGCTTTTATTTCTGCTACAAAATTTTAGCATTAATCATTTTTGACGTAGTTAATATTGATGTTCTGCCTTGATGCGTCTGCTTAGTTCACTTGAGTGGACTACGGACTTTATCTTGCTAGTGTTACGCCTTTATAACAATGTATAAAACTAGCTTTTGCCCACGACTTTGTCTACGAGGTATTAGTTTCCAAGTCCTATAAAAATGAGGTTCTTAATTTGACAGAATTTTTTATTATTACTTATGTCCGTAGTAGTGAACTGAATCAGATGATTGGTACTAAATATTATTTTTAGCAACCTGATGGGACGGATTTTGTTCTTGAATAATTTACTTAGATATTCGTAAGTACCTACTGTAAGTCAAGCTTATATAATATATTTAAAATTTCCGTGGTCGAACTCTCTTAAAAGCCGATCCATAAACCCTGGGTTGATTCCCGTCAAAATCGAAGTTGGAAAAAATCGGTATCTATCTGGATAAATGTTTCCGCTTTCTTTCAATAGCATAAGTGGTGTAGCTACTTTAAAATTAGATTTTTTAGCTTTGAAATGCCACAATGTATTATAGTATCAAATTATAAATTAATATATTCAGTGCATGCATACAGGACACTTAAAATGATAAATTAATTACATTAATAAATAAACACAAATAAAATACTTAACATTGGAATCTAAAATCATGTCACGAATACACCATACTGGCATCTAGATCAGTTTTCTACTCAGAAATAGACAGACGCCGATTTTTAAGTTAGAGTTACCGGAGTTACTTAAAAATCTGCATTGGTGTTACTTAAAATACAAAAAACTTTTATGACTTCACATGATTCATTGTGAATTTTGTATTGCAGCGCTATGGGAGGAGCAGGAGGCGCCAGAGTACGACATCGACTCTGAGGACGAAAGGTGGCTGAAGCAGCAGCGGCACCCAGAGTTGACCGGTGAGTGGGTCCCACACCCCGAACACTTTGCGTATGTAAATGCTTAAGGTACGCATCCTTTACGCTATAACGTGACGCTCAACCATCAATGGTCTCCGCGACGTAGGTCTTTACTGTGACACATAAAATACCAGCTTTCCACCAGCGACTTGGTTTATACTACAGCCGCGTAGTTTATACGATGACTTGACATTATACATATCCTTAAGGAACCGTTTAGTGGGACAAAAAACGTATATGTTAATTCAGACTTGAGCGGAGAATTCACTAGACGGGCTTAAACGCGGGCAGGTCTGCAGGCATGCTTGCCGGACCTTTTTACTATTAGGTCTGGGTAATGACTGCGACGGTCATATACTAGACAGACACGCCCGCCATATAGTAGTAGTAGGGCCGGCATGCCAGCTTACTTCTTGCCCGGGACATGCTACTCTAGCGCATTCCCCACTTTTAGAATTACCCATATATATTAAAATACATTCAGTAGTGTTTGCATAAAAGAGTAACAATTATATATATATCATCACAAACTTTTCCATTTATAATATTAGTAGGATACAAATGTAAGCTGTGACGTAGGTTTTCCTTATGGCACATAAATAAATAAAAAAGGGAAAAGATATTGGCCGTTTTCGAAATGCAAAAGTCAATAACGAATCTAGTTCAAAATCATTTTTTCATTGCAAGTTAGGACTAGCGACTTGTGAAAATAATATTAATAGATAACGATTGCGTTAAAAAAAGAATTTCTATTTAGTCCATTAGATACGTATTTTTTTACCTTCAATTTAACAAGAAATTGCTTAGATAGGCTTTAAAGTTGATGTGCGACGTCTTACTTCAATAGAAGTTTCGTAAATTCTTAGTAAAATTTTTTGAAATCGTTTTTTTATTATTCCTACTAGCTCCTTGGTCGCAGTAGCGACAATAACTTTCTGAAATTCATTGGTAGTATTATCTGAACTGTTATAACTAGCTGGGGGTACATTGTGCGCCACGAGATGGAAGGAAATTATATTAATTGCTTCCAACCCTCTACACGGTCGGTATATTGCGCGATGAAGGCAGCTTGCACGGATGTTCAACTAGTGACTATGTGATAATTAATTTTGAAATGTCAGTATGCTTCTTCTGTCCGACTTAATTAAATGAATATGTTTAAAGTTAGTCTTCTAAGTTGGATTACAGCTGATCAGGGGTTTGCAACCTTTTTTGGCAGGCCGAACTCAATTAAAATATCACCGTTGAATAGACATTTGGATCACACAACATGAGTGTTATATGAAAGGAAATGTTTGTATTTATTTATGATACCTGGAAATATTAAAAATGATTATGGTTTCGTGGAGATATTAACGTTAAACTTTTTTATGCATGTAAGTCATAGAGCTTCATACGCGTGTACGTATCAATAATAAAAATAAACTGTGTTAATGAATAGTAAGTGAATAAACGTACACTTTATTATACACTACGAAGAAAAACATAAATATAAATATACAGTACAATCGGCGGTTTGAAGTACAATTAATTAATGGTAAAGTATACATATGTACTTTCATTTCTATTCTGAAAATGTTTATTTTATACTTTATTTTTACAACTAAAGTGAGTCTATTAAAATTGTCTAATTGGATAATTATTAACCCGCGCTTGTCATAGGTTGCCAACCTCTGCATTCGTTTGTAAATTGTTTGATGAACTATATATCGTCTTTGTACAAGCTTTAAAATTACTTTTCGCCGTAAAACAAATACAAACCAACTTTTTATATTTTTCATGGCTTATTGCCATTCGTCGAGGGGCGACTTCTATCTACTTTCGGTTTCGGTAATACATACTGTATTTAGATATGTTCAAAGAATTCACAACTATGTACGTAATATAATAGAATTTGTAAGACAGAAGCATAAAAACACTAGATCACAATGTAAATTCATTCACACATTCACAGCAAAGGTTTCAAGTGACTTAATAAGTATGAATAAAATATGCTATATTTCAGTATGATTGAATTTAACAAAAGTAACGAAATTCTTGTTGTAGTTGTTTAGATTTCACAAACAAAATTACCAATTTGCTAATTGGTGCCGTTTTCAGATCTTGCCTTCAATAACGGCATATCCATGTACCTATGAGGTACACGAGAAATAATAATTCGTTCGTTTTATTCTAGAATGGAAGTTCGAGCAGATGATGGACAAGCTGGAGAAGAGCTCGGGGCAGACGGTCGTGACACTGCACGAGGCGAAACTGTTGTTGGAGAGGCACGACGACCTCGTCACAGCCGTGTACGATTACTGGCTGAACAAACGGCTAACCACAGTGAGTAGTAGTCAACAGCATGTGAGGTTATGCAAAACTTTTACTTTATTTAACTTTATTTTAAACGTTTTGGTATTGAAGAATACAAAATCAATTGCGGGAATTTGACATATGGTGTTAGTCTGACGTGCAGTAGTGTGTACATTCAGCGTCATAGTCATCGAAGCGCCCAAGGTGATCAAAAAGATTTTTGTAAGCAGATAAACACGTTATAAAATATGCAACTTTGGTGGCCTAGCTAGACAAAATTGAACTTTTGTACTTCAAATCTTTTTGAGCACCTTGGGCGTTTTAATGTGTATGACGCTGGTTATACGTGCCATTTATTACATTCAAAGTAGTCCAAATGCCCGAGTTGTGCTTTTTTATAAGATATATTTATAATAGAATGTTCATATCATTACACCAGACTGCAGCTGAATGTCAAATTTCCGCAATCGATTATGAAGCTACAGTCAACGACTTAAGATTTAAGTTAGATTGGAGAATTGAATTGGTATTTGTATATAACCACCTGATGTGCTGTCTGTTGATTGTAAAGAAACAATAATTCCCCAAAAGCATAAATAAATGTCAGTTTCTGATAACCGTAAATCATAAGCATATGATTTCATATATTTCAAAGATTATAAAGAGGTAGTGCGTAATCTTTGGAAATACTGATTTGATCGTAAAAATCCTTTCGCCAATGGGAAGCTTTTACGCGGATGACATAGGCTATAATTTAGGCGAGCGAAGTCGCGAGAAAACATATTATTTCACCTATAATTTCTAAATTGAGTTTGTTTTGCAGCAACACGCGTTGATACTATCGGTGAAGACAGAGAGCAGGCCAGGTCAGTCCTCCAACAACCCATACCTCGCGTTCAGGCGGCGCACCGAGAAGATGCAAACCAGAAAGAACAGGTATGAACAGCAGTATGACGGAATTGCACTCATTTTGCCCGAATTCGAAATAACATAGTATTTATCATATTCGGTCTGAAGAAGAAAGCGCTTTAAGCCTACTGTCCTGATTGCATATGCGTTTGTTAACATCTACCTGCATTGAGTTATAATGTGAGTTGTGAGTTATCCCCTCTTGATTATTTATATAGCGAAGTTCCGATTGTAGTGAATTTAATAGGATACGATCATATGATGTTGTCCAAATTGCTCTTTTGACATTTCCCCTTTAGCCAAATTCATGCAAGTCTATTATCTCTACTATGCAACAACTGTTTAATTAATAAAAGTGCAACTTTTGCTTGTAGGAAAAACGATGAGAGCTCGTACGAGAAAATGCTGAAGTTGCGAAGGGATCTGGCGCGAGCGTTGACCCTGCTCGAACTGGTGGCGCGCCGTGAGACCGCCAAGAGGGAGCTGGTCAAGTTGACGGCGCAACTAGCAGACAAACGATACGCAGCCGGAGACTTCGCCAACCAACTATTACCAGACCCACCGCCCAGGTAACACACATGCACACGCATATTATCATCCACACACACACAAACTTGTATAGAGATGGATAGAGTATTTGCATAATTACTTAACTATTGCACTGCTCATACTCAATTGTTAAACTCAAATTTTAGGTTCTATCCCTGGTTTAAGAGTAGCATACACTTTGCAAGTATACCGTTTAAATTAGGGCAGATCCAAGATTGCTGCCTCCCTTGCTGTTCACGATGAATTTCAAGTTGTCTATTGATTGATTTAAAAATGCTTGCAATAATTCGAAGAAATGGTTGCCGAATTTATAACAAATGTCCCCTTTCGCCCTTGGATCCATGTTTGTTTTAAATATTGACAAAGAAGCAGGATAAGATTTCTCTCTATACTCCATTCATTATAGCATTAGACAGAATGAAAATAAAGTTCTTTTTATGGTATACTTTGTGACAAAATGTCAACAATCATGTTACTCTTAAGACTAACGACTAATTTGCTACATAGCCACTTAGTAACCAGCTGCTATACTTAACCGTAGTCTTTTAAGCTATATATTAAACAAATTTATGAGTATTTGACTGACTTAAAACATTTAATAATTATTACAATAAAAAGTGTTCATCTTAAATAACCTAAAGAAGCAGGGTTTCGGCATGATTCTCATGTCACTATAACTACCCAATTTAAAACGTTGCCTAATCCCTTCAAACGTTTCGGCAGTACAGCTTTTTAATTTTGTCAGATTATGGTTTATTCATAATAGTCAAAATATGTAATCTGGGATTGTCATTCATTGTGAATGCTACTGCCTTTCTTGTTGTTTTGTCATTTTCGGTGATTGAGTAATTACTGTTTTATTGTTGTTTTCTTATAGTTTTGTTTTAGTTGTTATCTTTATGTTGTTAAGTTTTGCTAAATTGCGATTCCGGTGCAGGCCCGAGTGGCCTACAAAAATTACACTCTAAGCCTCCATGCCTACCCTCAACCATTGACATTTCAGGAAGTTTTTGCAATGTCTTCATCAATAGTCTAACTAATTACATTTACAATTAGAATTTATCAAAACAACAGATAGATAGTCTCAGTTTTAGTTCCATTTTGGCTTGGGAGTAAAAGATGAATTTATATAATGCTGGCCTTATCTCAACCCCGAGGTATCGTAAAAAATTGCCCAGCTCTTTCAGACTACCTAATATTCTAATATTTTATTCAAAGATTTAAAAAATGTCTTGTTTACAGACCCCAGTACAGCGCGGTTACGATATCAACAAGCAGTTTCCGTGCGTACACAGTGCCTCACTATCCGCCCCGGGCGCCTCCCACGCCCGTCGACACGCCCCGACAGGTAAATAATACATTCACTATACTATATAGTACTACATTAAGGTCCTATTGGACTATTGCTATTGCAATCTGTACTCTCTGTACAGATAGTTACAGTACACAAACTTCTGTGTAATTAGGATTTAATTCTTATTCTGTCTCTGATATCTTACGTTATTAAATTTTTTACACTTAAACCTAGATGCAAGGTATTTTTTATCGTTTTAGATACAGTAAGGGTTGTATTTCATCAAATAAATTTTATATCTTATAAATCAAAATTGTGTCCAAGAAACATATAGCGCAACATGCAAAAATTACTCAAGTCTCCTTTTAAAAAATAAGATGGTGTTGAATACACATCAAACGATTTCTTTCATAAACAATTTGCCAGGTCCCTTGAAGATTTTTTTTGAGAGTCACACAATCAAAGTAGGTTTTGTTTATCACCTCTTGTAAATCATAGTTTTGCAATGTTCCGAGCGTTGAGAAATCGTATAGAAATCGTTTGGCGCTGAGTTCTATATATGTATAGAGAGAGGATTGATAGATGGTGTGTCGGCTTGTGTGTATGGTGTTGTTGCATTGCAGCGCGAGAAGCGACCATACAAGAGACGGAAATACAGGCACCCCGCCGCCGCGCCGCCCGGTCGAGGAGGTGAGTCCATCTCTGTCGACATTGCACACACACACACGTCGCCCCCGCCTGGTACTGAGTACGGCACTGGCATCATGGAGACAGGGGAATCACAATGATAAACTAGTGTTTTAATTACTCTAACTGGTCTCTAAAGAAACGAAATGAGTACTTTAGGCGTTTCTTCGAGTTTTTTTTTGTGTATTTCTGGTCGTGATACACAAAATATAGATATATATGAATGTATAACAATATACTAGTCGAGGAAGTCAGTCCATCTCTGTGGAGTCAGGGAGATGACACTAATGTATTATTTGCCAATATTTAGTCCCTTTTATCCATTTAGAAAAGACAAAAACTTGGTATGAGGTTTATTTAAACTACCAAGTCCTTCCATAATTATAATTATGATATGGAATATACTGTGCTGTACTTGGTTACTGGCGTAGTGTGTGAATCGGGCTTTAGGGTGTTTGGTTACAGGGGCCTGGTCAGGGTTGCCGCCCTCATTATATAATTACAGTTTTTAAATGAACGATCATAACGAATCTTTAAATATCTTCTTTTATTGTCATTTTATTTTTATTTCTACCTATTTATATCTTCACGCCGAATCCTTATTATTTTATAATCCGTAATTTGAATTAATAGAAACCACCTAAACAAATCTTTAGTACTTTTTGGCAACCCATATGGAAGGGGAAATAGCAATAGTAGCATTATTACCTGTCTTGGTTTCTAACGTTGCGCTGACAAATATACTATTGAATATATTGAGAATTTAAAAAAAAAATCTTATTTGTTATAAGATTTCACATCTAGTTTTAAGCAATATAAACTTTTTTATAATAACAGTCAGTTGCACAAACTTTACATTCATTAATTTGACATTTAATCATAATCTGACATTCATTAGTGCTTAAAAACGCCATTAAACCTTAATGGACGTTTGTGCAACTACACCATATATCTCTCTTTGTATTTTATTTTGGTATGTAAAATTTACATTTTAACAATAATGAAATATATGAAATTACAGAAAGTTTATATTTAAAATATATAGTGTTGGAAAACATTCTCCTCATCCAAGACTTTGAACATCGACATTTTATATATAAAATATCGGAATTATCTTTCTCTTCGTCGTACAAGTTCTAAACTCTTCCCAGTGAATTTCTTCAACACTATTTGTAAAAGGTTTATGCAATTTTTAAATATCAAGGTTTTATTCTATTTCACTAGCAGTATATGGCGTTACAGTTTAAATTTGATGTTTTTTATAAACGAAAATCACCATTTACTTGGATAATAATACGTCTAAATTACAATTATTACTAAATTCTAAAATTAGAACTAATTCAAATGCTGATTTTGATGACTACAGAAGGTAAGACATGTTTATATGGTCGAGTTTCGTCACATCATGGCAGCTACGAAAGCAAAATTTTTAATCAGTGAAATTATTTTTTAATTATTAAAATTTAGTTTTATTTTCTCAGGAGTCAAAGAAGCCTATTACAAAAAAACATTTTGAATGGTAACTAAATACATTAAAGTCTACAGCGCAAGCAAAATAAATTTTCATTTATAAATAATAAAACTAGACGAGCGCCATCTTGACAGTCAATATGAATAAAAACGAGATGTTCCATCTAATAAAAATATTCAAAGAAGTTTAATAATGAAAGTAACCCAAGTAAGTTATTTATGTGTTTTCCCACGTAATTGCAGAGGTGGGCGCTGTGGGAGCGGCCTCTTCTTCAGACGAGGAATTGCCCGACGACGGACCCTTCGCTTTCCGACGGAAACCAGGATGCTACTACGAGATGGTGAGCTATCAGACTCTCATCACACCGCCTTATTTCGTACTACACCATTTTACACTGTATTACACAAGCACTAGTTTACTACACTATTTCATACTTTGTATTACACAAAACTCATATAACAAGATAATATTGTGTTACGAGTTTCGATTCTGTCACGTGGACTTATTTGACTACCCAGTGGTTATTATAGGATATACACAAGTTCATATGTAAATGCATAAAAAATAAATAAAATTTAGTTGCTCTTGAAAAGTTTTGATTCCAGATATTGATTCTCCTAAATTAGATATTAATGTTTTACTTCTCACTGGAATAGTTAGTTACTTAAATGTTTGTGTCAAATAGTATCTTACTTCTGCAGCCAACGTCAACGCTATGTGGAGACCCCTTGGATCCTGATAAGGCTGCTAGTGGCGCCATCTACAGTCACGAGCTTGATGAAAGGCATAGGTGAGTTTTTATGAACTATGCTACGTTAAGTTTTTTATGGCATCTCATTTCTTTTTATATGTACATAGTTCTCCTATTTTTCTTTTCAGTTAATATCTTGAACCTCAGTTGTGGGCTTTCTCAAAGATCACTCTTTGTCTCTGTTTTCTTTTCAAAAAGACGTCGATGTATTGGTTTTCGATAAATCTTAGATAGTTATAAACAGTTTGGGTATGATGCTTTCGAAAGTGCCACATAGCCTTTACTGATAGATATGAGCTTGACCGCATCTAAATACTGAAGAACCAACGTCGTCGTCAACATCTTAGCCCTTGACTTTTATGACTATGTCGATCGTTATACCTATAGATATAAGGTCTAATGAAGCTCATTCGATGTAAACAATACATTGACAGATGTTTTCAAAATGCTATACAGTTAATAAAAATCCGAAAAACCAAAAACGGGACTAATATTTTATAATGTTAGATTTTTTTCTTATTTATATGCTAAATAATAATGTGTTCGAAATTTGGAGTCGGTGGGTCTGCTAGAAACCTTAGAATTTTGATGATCTATGAGTCAGTGACAAAATTATGGATTTTTAACTTGCAAAAATTCTTAAAGTACTTGTTCAAATGTAATGTTATTTAGAAATGTACTTTATTATATGCTGCCCTCTTGGTCACTGAAATTTTAAGCTTCTATTTTACTCTGCACTGAAGTTACAAGGGGCCGAAATGGCCTGAATGGCTTCGAGAAAAGAATTGTATGGCCGTGACCTATTTATTTTTGTTCGACTTGGCGGATGGACTGCCGTGCCCCCAGATATAAGTTTACTTAAATATATATTTATGACAGGTTTACGCTGACGTCAGTGAGGCATCCGTATCCACGTTGTGTCGGTTTCGCTCGACGAAGATTATGTCGCGGTGGGCGTGTAGCATTAGACAGACTGCATACACCGCTCCAAGATCTATGGGAACGGTTGCCGCATCACACAGAAGCCGCGTTACACCAGCGGCGGCATCTACAGGTAACATAAACATCCACACACGAAACAAGACATATTATCATCTATTTTTTAGTAATATTCATCCAGTATTGAAGTTTTTCTATTTAAAAATTAATTTAAATTCATTACAATAACTTTATAAAATTAGAATTATTATTAGAATTACTTTTATAATTTTTGATCATTTATACTACTATAAAACACAGATATTTTAACAATTATTTATGTAGCTACACCTACACCTTAATTAAAAATATTAACTTTGATAAATTGCAAAATTAAACCACGTCTTACTTATAATATATCTTTGAATTATCATATTTTATTTTACTTAAAACAACTTCAAAATTTTCAAGGATAAAATTTTAACCTTCTTTTTAAAGGATGAACTCGAAAAGAACGTGCATAGAACTCCCAAAGAGATAACTCAGGACTACCACACGGGTGGCAAATATCCGTGGAGACACGCGTTCAGACAGCACCTATCAAAGAACCCTCACCTGTGGATCGAACCTGAAGTCAAGCCGATCAAAATGGACATGGATGTTAAAACGGAACCTGACGATGAGCCCAAATATATTAATGAAGACCTGAAAAGTGCAACGGACTTGAAATTAAACGATGATTATAGCAGTTTAACAGATGCAAAATATATTAGTGATGAAGTGAGATTCTCGAACAATGACGTGAGACGTGTATGTGGTATTAGTGATAGTGATCGCGCTCGGACTATAGAATGTAATGTTAAGGAGAGCCTTAGAAAGGCCATGAGGAAAAGGTCATGGAGTGGTTGTAGTGATAGCAGTTATGAGTCAGATGAGAGCTTACAACCGGTCGAACAAGAGTTCGAGAAGTTCATCAATGAGGTTAATAAGAAATGGTGAGTTTTATATATCTCTACTGTTAAAAATCATGAGTCTATTGAGGAGATTGGTTTCTGCTGCTTAATGTAGGTGATGAGCTGACAACTTATCATTATTTGAGGCAATTCGTCATGAAGTGAAAATCAATTAATAATGAAATAATTAATTTAGTAGTAGTAGTAGATTTATTAAAATGTAATAAAATTTTGCCAAAAATTATGTTGAACGATCTTTACTCACTAATATTTACTTCATTTAAAAATGTATATATCTAATTATGATATATATTCCATTGTTTAAGTTTAAAATATATTTTTGTTATGTTTGTGGATATCACAAGGAAGTACAATTTAAAGTGATCCAAATCTTAAATACAATATAATTATGTAGGTGTAGGTAAAATGCTAAAGGTGTTATGCTCATTGGTAAATTAGCCATAGTATATGTCGTATCATTACTGATAAAACCTTAATTTTATGTTCTAATTTCAATAATTGAGCGATACTAGTAATAATAAAATTGTGTACAGGTTACACTTTCGGCCGAAAACACCGCCACCATCTCCACCGCCGCCCGACTTCAACCCGGAAGATCAGGCACCCGTAACACTAGACACGCCTCTAGCTGTCGAACTGAGAACAGAACTGCCATCGGGCGGTCTCGACACATTCACCACGTCCGAGTTCACGCTCGCCGATCTATATGGCGACATAAATCCGGAGGAGAAAGACAGCAGCGGCAGCGCAGCCCTAGACGGCAGCGGGGACGATCTGCTCAACAACTTCACCGGCTTAACCGAGGACCAAGTCGAGAGTATACTGTCCGAGACAGACTTGAAAGCGTTGGCCGAGGTGGACTTGACCAAAGGGGACGCGAAGGAGGATCTGCTCGACGTGGATTCTTTTTTATTGCAAGGCCAGGGTATGGAGGGGCGCGCGTGCCCTGGCTGGCGCGGCGCGGGGGCGGGGCGGGCGAGGGCGGGGCGGGGGCGGGGCGCGGGGGGCTGCAGCTCTGTGCGAGTGGTGGCGTCCCCGCCCGACGCGTTATACGTGGACCTGGTCACGCCGGACCCGCCTAGTGTGCCGAATATCGTTCCGAAACCCGCCGCGCCGAAACCCGTCGCGCCGAAATCCTCCACGCCGAAACCGGTCGCGCCTAAGACCGTCGTGTCGAAACCGGCCGTGCCGAAGACTGCGACTGCGCCGACCTCTGCGCCACCTGATGTCAAGGCGAGTACTTTCTATTACCATTGTTTAACTTACATTTTGTCACTGTTAGATCGCTAATTATTTCGGGCACGCTGTTATACGATTCATACTTTATAATGTTCTTGCCTTAATACCAAAGACAATTCAATTTTATAGCCTATGAACGTATTCTACTAAATTCACTGCATTAAAAAAATATAGCAATTTTATAGATACTTTGATTCACCATAAAAATGTACATACGGTTTCACGTCAAGCTACCGCAATATATCAAATTATCTCAATTAATATTGAGCTTTATCTACAATGTGTTTTAGTTTAAAATGAAGTGAATAAATTTGACAGTTTTTTAGTCTAATGTTATATTTCTATTTTAAACTGAAATTAAAATTTGTGTAATAATAATTCATATTTCTGTTATGTTTAACAGACATTAAAGATAATCGAACCCTGTCACAAATGAGTTGTCTGTTTTAACATAATCTGTCTACTACCCAGCTGGAGAAACAACCCGTGCCCACGTCCAAGATCATCGTCGAGGAGGTTAACGAAGTGCCCACACACGCCCAGATCAAGATCGAGAAGAAGCGGAGAGATGATCAGAGCGTGGAGGAAGTCACCTTCGCGCACGGCGTCCAGTTGAAGACCGTGCAGACTAAACATTCGCCTCTAAAGAAGCACATAATAAGCTCGCGGCCGGTGGAACTGACGGCATTGACGGCTGTAACTGCCGGCGCGGTCAGTTCCATGGCGGCCGTTACGTCTGTCGCCGCTGCAGTCACCAACGTTACAGCGCAGGATTCACCAACGCCGCAGATACTTACGGTGTCAGACAGTCTCAAGGTTAGTTTCACTTCCATATCAGTCATCTTTATTGCCTTTATCATAAAAACAGTTCGATTTTATCCATTATGAATAAAAAAGAAATCAAATCAATATTTTCAGGAAGGTAACGTACATCTGCACATAAAAAATATAGAACCAGGGCTTGAAACCGGTTCAGAATAAACCGTTTTTATTTAGGTAAAACCTGTTCTCTTATAATGTTCCGTTCCGGATCGGAACTGAATGCGGAGTGAAATTCGGATGGAATAAAAACCGGTTAATTCGCTTCGTTCGTAAAAAGCAATGTTCTTACGCTTTTAATGCGAATTATATCATTTTTAAGCGATGAAATTTATCATACCTGTGTACGGATGTTATAGATAGGAGTAACGGCACTTAAAAACCGCGCTGAAGTTTGTGAGATCATTGTCTGGAGTCATATTTAAACCGGTTAATGAAGAAAACCGTATTTCTAGTGAACTATTTTAAAAACCTGTTCAAAGGAGCTGAACCTTTTATGTAAAGTTGTGCATGTACTTACATCAAACCGGTTCAAAAAATTAACCGGTTTCCAAGCCCTGTATAGAACTTAACATGAGTAGAGTTGACAGTATTGAGTACTTTTTTATGGTCTGTCTTAAAGTTACAGGTACAGAGTTTTTTAATAGTAACATTTTTCCGTGATCATTAAAAACTTGGCGACTTGAAGAAATATACTGGAATAACTATGAGACCTAAAACTATAGATTCTCACTACCCAGATTAGTATACATACACTCGTAAAGCATTACTCTCCTACTGGTTCAGTTGGGTAAAAATATGTTGCGCCCCGCTGGCAGTGGCTATGATAATATTATTAAAACTTTTCATCAATTAATTGAGATCTGTTAAGTACATATTACTCTGTACCTAATCAGGTGAGACTACAGAATCATCTGGTATCATCTCAAGCGGGTGTGCTGGTGCAGAACGGACCGTTCCCGCCAGTGGCAGTGTTGCCGCTGCATCATCACCAGACTGCACATGCCGGTAAGATTATAATTAAATTTATTACAGCCCATGATAAGTGACGGAACATCCGACAGAGATTAACCGTCCTTATTAGGGTTGTTTCGGTAGTGAAAAATATGTCGTGAAATTCAACAAAAATTAAAGTTTAACCAGAATCAGGAAATTTTAATTTTTAGAAGATAACATTGGCGAGAAACGGTACAAATGTCTTGATACTTATAATATTTTACATTAAATGTACTCTTGACCATATTCCTATCTCTGCAAATTTTAATTCTGCAACTTTATTTTTTCTTTTTCTTGTAAAGAAATGTCTTCATATCTTCTTTACTAATAATTTGTTTTATTGTTGTAATCGACACGCCGAATATTATCGAATTAATTCTTTAAAAAAATAGTATCAAGGTTCATCATTGCTAGTTAACGGTCAATTCATAAACACACATTTAAATCAAAAAAAATCGTTAATCTTCAGTCTCTTTTCACAAATTTTCCTTCAAACGTTAAAATCAATATTTCTTACTCGAGATCTCAATGGCTTTTTTGGGCATTTTTCTGAAAATAATTTAATACTTTCACATATATTCACAACAATTTACACTTTGATTCACAACAATTGATATTACCATACGAAAATGGAGATTTTTTTCCTTTGTTTTATTTGCCATCAGATTCTGGTACACCTGTAATTCGTAATTTTCAGATTCTCTCGTTTTTGGTATTGTGTACATATTAGCATTAACAACTTTATTTTAAGTTATCAAAGTACGTTTAAGCACACATATAAGTAACACTTATAAATTTTATTCTATGCTCATAAATAGTTAACTAAATTTTTATTTGCTACTTACTACTTATTGGTGTGTTAATACGTACTTGATCTTTTAAAATTAAGCTAGAAATGTACTTACCTACCTATTAACTTAATCGCGTGTAAACCAGCAGTTATAAGCAAAAAAATTAAATAAATAAATGTAACATACTTGTGTTGTGATCAGGGAGCGGTGTGGGTAGCGTGGGCGGGCGCGTGGGTCGCGTGGGGGCGCCGCTGGTGGCGGTGGGCGGGGGCGCGCTAGTGCAGAAGCCGCTGCAGCTGCACGCGCACGCGCACGCACACGCGCCGCTCGTCGTCACGCCCTCCGGCGCGCATCTGCACCACGTGCCCGCCAACAAGCTCAAAGGTAACACCACCACTGTATCTATGCTCTAACTTAGAACATATTTGGCATAGTTGTCTAATTTTAAAATATGTCGCAATACTTTTCAATTTGATATTTGAAAGATATTCACGATCTTTATATGTGATGTGTGGTAGTCATTGCGATCGTGACGTTACGTTTAGAAAGTATTGAATGGGAGATATTGTTAATTTGATGGTAACTGGAATAGGGGAATATTAAATAAAAAAATAATAATTGTGTAAAAGTTCATTAAGTTTAAAGATTATACGTCCATTATTTTTGCAAAATAACTTTCGATCTATTATGCAATCAGATGGCCGGTTAGAGTCTCAAAAAGTCGAAGACGAAATAGCTTTCTTTTTTTTGTGATGGCGCCAACTTTCGAACGTGTTACGATGCCATAGTGCGTATTAAAACTGTAAATATAACTATCGGAATAAAAATTTATCTGTTGGAATATTATATTTTCGGGTTGTGTAAATCTGATTTAACAATGACTATAATTAATAATCAAAGTATTTTCAATAAAATAATATTGAGACAAGGGGAGAATATGTAGAAAAATCAAACATGTTTTTATTTTCTTTGTTTTCTTGGTCGGGCCGAGAACTTTTCAAACCACCCTCGTATAATATAATGATTATTTTATTTGTGATCAGTGTTGCACGCGCATCCGTTGAGTCGCGCTCAAGTGGTGAGCAGATCCGGCGGCGGTCAGAGCGTGCCCGCGGTGGTGTCCCTGGCGCCGCTGCACGACTCCAAGCCGCTGATCAAACAGCAACCGCTCACGCAACTGTTCGAGATCAAGGCCGCGCAACTGGGAAAGGTATGGTTATATATACGGTACCCAGTACTAACTGCACACAGTACTAAATATATCTCTACCCACCGCCTTCAAAATTTTATGGGTTCCCGTGGTCTCGACGAAAATAGTGTCTAGGGCAAGGAGGAACTTGTAAGAGTTGGATCAGGTCCTAGTGGTTGGAGAATGCGAATATTTTTTTCTTTTGCTCATAATGGGTTTTTTCATTAATCCAGTACTATATATAGATATAAAAAATGAACGTTGAAGGGGGAGAATGTACAATAGCGAGAGCAATACTGAATAGATTGAGTATATACATACGTAAGAAAAGAAGAAAAAAATATAGGTATACGAGTTACAAGTTATATTGAAAGTAGTTACTTCTGCAATGAAGGATCTTTTCCAATTTGACTCGCATAGTATATATGTTCATTTTGAAATAGCGTCAGCGCAGTAGGGAGAAATGATACTAACTTCCAGGTTGTAGATCTCTTATTTACTAGACAATCGCAGTTTTATACTACTTAAATCTAAGAGGAGGGTAATAGTAAGGGTACGTGATTCCATCCAAATCACGTTTATAACGTGATTCATAATATTTGCTGCTTCATAATAATTTGTGTGACAGGGTCCGCACCTAGTGAACGTAGTGCGCGGGTCCCCTGCGGGTGCGGGTGCGGGCGCGGGCGCGGGCGCGGTGGCGGGGCGCGCGGAGGGGGGCGAGGTCCGGCGCCGCGCCGTGGTCGCGCTGGAGGGGGCGAGGCATCAACTCCCAGCCACGGCCCGCCCGCACAGGCTCAGTCTCAGTCTGGACGCGAGGCATCTGCTGCGCGCCACCCTGCCCGCGCCTAGGCCACAGGTCAGTGTGACTAGTTGATGAGGCAGTTACGGTGTAGTCTATTAGTTCACATAGCATGGGTACGGTGATGTTTCGAATTTCAAGCTTTTAGTTTATTACCACTTATAAAAATATCTATATACAAATACTCGATGTTATAGAGTTCAATTCTAATAGAGATAATTTCTTTATTTATTCGTCAACAAAATTCACTCTATAACTAATTTAATTATTTGAGAGCCTATTATACCTTATATTTTAATAACCCTATCCCAGTCAAATAGAATAAGGCTTTTGTTTCCAATTTTTCTAAAAGAAATCGCACTGCATACAAGTCATTCGCATTCTTATTGAATTTGTTTGATAGATAAAAAATCGTCTGTGTTTTTAAGTGTTGCTATTTATTAGTAAACTCTAAATATAACAATAAATTAAAACATAAATTTTATATAAAATCCTATTATAAATAAATTATATTGTTACTGTAACAATAAAACATATTTAATTATCCGAAATATATTTTAAGCGTATTTAAATCACGATAAAGACATCTCAAAACAGTGGAATAGGTATATTTTGAGTGATAGCCTGTCTTTCCGCCGGTCCAAGTTAGTAAAAGATAATTGTTATGGTGACAGATCCAATTGAAGAATCGCACGGTGCAAGTGTCAGCGGCGAGCGTAGCGGCGAGTGTGGCGGGCGTTGCGGGCGTGGCGGGCGTGTCGAGTGTGGGGGGTGTGGGGGGCGGCGCGGGCTGCTCCGCCACGCCCAAGGTGGGCACCTCCGTCGTGGCCAACCTGCTGCACAAGACTGTACACCTACCCAAGTCTGCGGCGCCGCTCGCTGCCAATCTGCAGGTATAACTTGAACGAAATTGAATAGCAAAGGAGAGCCTATTATATATGGTGTTATATTATGATATGCCAGGACTTCGTGGGGTAATTAGTTATGTATACTAAACAACTTTTACTATGGAAGCAACATATATAGTGTTATATTATGATATGCCAGGACTTCGTGGGGTGGATTAGTTATGTATACTAAACAACTTTTACTATGGAAGCAACATATATAGTGTTATATTATGATATGCCAGGACTTCGTGGGGTGGATTAGTTATGTATACTAAACAACTTTTACTATGGAAGCAACACTGAATTCGCTTAGTTTCATACTGTCAACGATTGTACGTATGACAATATTGTATGAAACAGCTAATTATTTTCTTTTGGAATTCAGTGTTGCTCCCATAGTAAAAGTTGTTCAGTACACTTGACTAATCCACTGGTCCTGGCATATAATAATTTGTCATCAAACGAAAATTTATTTATTAAAGTTTATTGACAAATAGAAAGGGTACAAAAGGAGGACTTAATGTTAATTCTCTCCAATTTGGAAAATCGTTCTTATTATAATTTTGCTAAAATCATATCCTACCTCTGTTGCACCATAAATTATCCAAAAATGCGTTTCTTTAAAGTCGTATTAATGTTTCGAAGAGAGATGAAATCCACTTTTTGGAGAATTAGAATAAACCTTCAGGTGTGATGTTGATTCGTACGTGTATACTACACGCTAAATGTAGAACCGGTTAAAGAAGGAAGGCGAGTGGTCAGGGTGGCGCCAAAATCATCGCCATAACATAAGAGAGTTCAGTAAAAAAACAAGAACTAGTTATTAAATTATTATAACAATATTTTGGGGATTATTCATAAATATTTCAATATATAATATCTCATTTACTTCTTGCCTTTTGTGCTATCTGTACTTTCTATTTTCATATGACGTCACGCGGATGTTATTTAGAATTTACGGGACTTGTACATGTCGGCGTGTAGTCAGAAGGGGCTTTTACGAAGCCCAAATAGATCGTCCATATCGGAGGACTATCTGACTTTAAAATAACACTGCAGGCGTGAATACCAACGTGGATTTGATCCATTCTATCACTTTTCATACGAAAATATAACGAGATGAGCGTGATGTCGTCGTCTCCTCAGCGATCGGAAACAGAATGTGTGCCAAAAAAATGGCGGCAATTTGCTTTTTGTTAACGATGATCACGCTCTCTCTACAATCGAGTAATTAACTAATCGAGTAACTAGCAATTAAAATAAAAGAAACTAAATCAAACGCTCTTCGTAAAGATGATGCGACATACATATTAAGACTTTTGTTTTGTTTTTGTCACGCAGGCGATAGCGTTTGCGGCGCCGCAACTGAAGCGCCACCCGCCACATCCGCCCCACGCGCCGCGCCCGCACAACGACAAGTGAGTGCGTACCTGTTGTATCTAGTTACATACACACGCTTACATCACACATACACACTTTTTAACATAATAAATGGACCAATAAAGAAGTTATAATAACAACTAGCTTTCTGCCCGCGGCGCCATCGGTGTGGTAACCTTTTAAATCTATTTTTTTTTTACCTTAGAAACTATCGTACACATATACTATTTAAATTATGCACCTCGGTATATTTCGTGTTTACGAATTTAACCGATCAAGAAACCAATGTGTGATCGTCGTTTTAGCCGCCAGAACTCGTCAGTACCTCGACTGTGATGGAAGTGACAGCACGCAATAATTCAGTATTAAGAATTGTATAGAGCTGTAATACGCCAAATTACTTTATTTGAATATAGATACTTAATTTATTCCTACACAATTCGATTTTCTTTAATCTGGGGTTCATTTTGGTATCAGCTGATGGTAAGTATACTTTTAACACAGTATACTTTTATTTTTAAATTGGCTGACCTAATCTAAATTTAGCGAAATGATTTATTATGTAATAACAACTCTATATATCTTTAAATTTTAATTAGGAGTGGATTGAATTAGGATTGCCGAAGCTTGACGAATATAGCCGGAGCGCATAATTTAAATAGTATATGTGTATTTACGTAAACTATCGCGAGATTCACTATATCTGTATATTCTATAAATTGGTTGGCGTGAAAACGAAACAGCCACACGTAGTTACTTTATTTATCAAAAAAGTATCAATTTTGATAAATTGTAATTTTTGCATACAATAGGGATGTTGACTAATTTTTATTTGTTTGTCCGTCAGGTAGAGTGTTAAAAAATTTTAAACACGTATTTTTTTATTTTTTTCGTAATCATAAAATTACGGCGTTACATGGAGTTGAAATTTCGCGTGACGTCACATTAGGATACGTTTTCTACTCAACTGTGTCGTAGCGAGCCCCCACTCCTCAACTTTAATGCCTGTTATCTAAGCTATTTCTTGTTAAATTTAAGTAAAAAAAAAAAATGTATCTAATATTTTTCTATTATCTGACTGACGGACTAAATAGAATTGCATGTTTTTTACCCAGTCATCATCCCTATTGTGAAAATCTGATTTAGAAAAAATATTTCGTTGAAAGCTCGGTTGGAAAACAGGTTGTCGAGACAGTTAAGAAATTTATTTGTATTACAAACGGCTGCACGCCAGACTATTGTGGACTTTATACCGACCGTATAGAACTTCCCTACTAATCCGGCGGTCCGATTTTTTCAGGTCCGATATGTCAGGCCATATGTAGGTAATGCGCGCTTGTGCACTGTCACGAATTTTACCGTCCGGAATTTTACTTTTCTCTATTCCGGACCGGTTTTTTCAAGTCCGTGATGGCGGCAATGAAAAACGTGTTTACGCTTGTGCACTGCTGTGTCTGCGATCCGGAAAATTCATAAGGAATAGGCTTGGGAAAAATAATGGATTTGAATCGATAATTATTTCGGCAATATTGTTAATTTCCAATAAACTTATAATCGATATTTATTGTTGATTATAAAATGCTGTATTTTATATGATGATTTAATATAGTTGGTATATATCACTGCATATGCTGTGGCAAACTCGGTATAGTTCTATTTTGATCAGCGTATGGTTCTAGTATCGATACTTAGCTAGATTTTAGAATCGTATTAAAAGTATCGATAGCTTAAGGTAAGATAAATAAGTGTTGTTACGCTTAGACGCCTAAACAACTGAACCCATCTAAATGGAAATTAATATAGTAAATAGACTTAACTTTAAGAAAGGACATAGGCTACATTTTATCGCGAAAAATAGGGGATGAAAATTTGCCTGGAAATTTGTCATTATCAAATTTTTTTAGACAATTGATAAGTATAGATAAATATTTGACAACAGGAGTAATAATAAAGAATAAACAGAAGACTAACAAAAGTAATTAAGTAACACTCAATATCTTTTTCGTATTTAATAAAATTTTAAATGTATGTTTGTGTCATTAATAAATTTAAAAAAAAAAAGTATTCTAAGGGAATAATATTTCTGCTCAAAGAAACTACACCACGCGTATAAAATTATGCCTATATATAATACAGTCAACTGATCTCGTAAAGTTCATTTAGCATAATAATTCTCCGCTAACACGGCACTAATTTCGATTTGTTTACGAAATGGCGCCACCGACTGGTCTATCTCTGTAATCGCTGAAAGTTGTTTTTACAAAACTTCGAAAAAATAGCACGTCAGAGGTCTGTTTATGGTGTTGGTGTGTAGCGTGACGTGCGGCTGTGTGTACATACATTGATTCAATTACACAGTTAATACAAGTACAAATGAAATTTTGTTGAATTCTTTCATATTTAAAGCTTTATAATTGTTACACAAGGCTAATTTTTCAAGCTAGTGGCTCTATTTTACTATTACTAATACTTACTTAAGCTTAATAGACTAAAATTGAAACTAGTTCTTTATACACGAAAGTAAAAACACTTATTAGCACTAATTTACAGTTCTGATTTGAAAAACAAGGCTTATGTAGCAGGGGAATAAGGCAAAATAGCAGCCGTAATTATACAAATATAGAAACCGTTATTTATAATAATAACAATTTATTCTCAAAACCATTGTAGAAACTGCGAATAAAATTAGCATCTAATACTAGAATTACTAAAATTTTAACAGAGTTAATTTTTACGTTAACTATACAAAAATTTTCACTACTGATCAATTGCTAACAAATTTCGTTTAACCTCTTTGCAGCGAGCTGGTGGACGTGGGTTCGGTGTCCGGGCAAGGTGCGTCGGAACCACTCGACGCCGAAGACGAGTCCGTGCGGCGGCGAGACTCGCTGCCCATGGAGGTCACGTGACACGGACGCAACGCCATCCGTCCACCGCCCACGACCCACCACCATACCAATGTAAACGCAGACGAGGAGGCCGCCAGTACCATACACGGAGATGACGATAACGAACCCATCGAATCCACCGATAAACAAGATGTGAAAAGAATTCCACACGTTGAAGACAGTGAATCAATAGTGAGAGTTGAAAATCGAGAAGTCTTTGAAGAATTTGGAGTGGCTGAAGTCGATGATGGAAATTGTTACTTGATAATTGGAGATAGTAGAAGTGAAGATAATTTGTCAATGAAAGTTAGCGATGTGTTTGTAGAAAATCAGGAGTTTTGTGATTCAGCGAAAGCGGCTGTGGAAGTCGTTGATGATGTTAAGTGCGAGTCGCTGCAGAGTGAAAAAATCAGTTGTGAATTTAAGAAAGTTGACAATAGTATTGAAGTGGCTGACAAAAGACTTGTCGACCTGGCAGTGGCAAAGGTCAATGACACGAATACTACAATAATCAGTGACCTGATTATTAAAAATACAAATAAGAAATGCTTCGCTGTAAAAAACAAAAACATTAATCATAACTCTATAAACGTTAATTGCTTGCAAACAGAAAGCTTCAATGCCATCAAAGTGCAGCAACTTGTCAAAGACAACGATTTGATTGCTCTCAAACTTAATCAGACAATGACATCTACAGAAGCGACCACAAGGCATACAGAACCAGTGGATTCTGAACCAATTTTCGATGGAAGTCGTACTGACATCTCTAATTTGGATGGGGCGAGGCCTGTGTTAGTGTTCTAGCAGTGAAATTGTGATAGTGACGCTATATCTAGTGAAATTAATGACATTCTGTGACGACTTGTGTTGAATTTGTGTGTAGAAATTTCTAAATGTTCCAGCTTACTCAGGTGATGTTGAAGATGTCGACAAATAATAAACCAGGACAGTTATATTTTTTTGTCAATAAATGCTGTAAATAGTTTATATAAACCCAAAAACCAAAAATCTGGTTAAGTTTTGTCGTATATTTCATAGATTGTACACCCTTAGCTGCTATTTATGTCATCAAATTGCAATTTTAACTTTGCAATTATGAATAATATGTTTATGAGTTATGTGTCGATCATGATTGCAATTGTTGATTTATCATCGTTTGTCTGATTTTTTAATAGAACATTTAGAATGACACACTGATTACGCAAACTCGGAACGTACCTTTGTATTGTATATTTGAAACTGATGAGTTTCTTGAATTGCAAAATGTGATATTAAAACAAGTTTAAAACCACATTTGATTTTACTTTTTTTTTATGCACGCAAATCTATGTAGCGGAATCCTCCGCCATATTTAGTTGGACGATGAACGCCGATGAAACTTGGACTATGTTACTTAGTAGAATGGTCGACAGAGGCCTGGGCTTAATTTTAATGTAGTAAAAAATGAAATTACAAGGAATAAATGTAAGCTATGTTAATTTTGTAGTTTATTAAGATGTGTATTCAATACAAATTCTGATTAAGGGCTGGTTTTTGCCTTGCTTGCTTGCGTTTTCTGCGTCAAAAGTTTACCTACAATGGTTTATAATATACTCTATTCTTAGCACATACAAAAAATGATACCAATTTAATGAGTAGAAAATAAATGTGTGTATCGCTATACATAGAAATCTATATCGTTTCCGCGCAGTACTACCTATTGTTTTACAGGGTGGGTTCAATAACCTATAGAGTCCCGCACAACAAAACTCTTTACTAATACGCTGAAACATTGTCAAATTAGCACCTACGTGATATCATTTGAAAATATTCATAGTTAAAATATTTTTGAATAATCCCCAAAATAGGATTGTAACAATTTATTAACCATTACTTTGTTGATTTATTTGCAAAATATTTTTCGAAAATGTCCAATTAATATGTTAATATATGTATGTAAGAAAAAACTTAGTGACGCTAAAATCAGAGAAGATTTAATACAAGCAAAATCCATACGTGTACTAGCTGGCTGTACTAGCGGTACACGTAAATGGTAGTCAAGCATTATTAATATTCCGATGATATAGAGGTCTATGGATAGCGATACATATGGTTTTCTTTCAATACTCACATAGTACCTTGCATTATTTTTTGTTTTGTCCCCTACATTAGTAAAGTACAGTCGAATAAATTGCTAAATTATTTTAATAGAACAATACGGTTGCGGTATGAAATTATTCGTCATTTTTGTTCTTTTAAAAACAGGTATAAATTTTATAATACCTTCTTAAATTAAGCATCCCTTTTATGAGTTGATCTCTCTCGTTTATTAATTTAAAAAGTCATAACTTATGATGAAGTATGGATGAATTTCAATATGACGATTACTTTTCATATCGCAACTAGGTAATATTCGATTTAAGAGATGCTCTTCAAAGTTCCAATGCTAAATATACAAATTCGATACTTATTTCCCCTCAAATTAAATTTTATTCCATCATGTATTTATTGTGAAATATGACATTCATGCATTATGACGTTCAAAACTGATGATTTTGATTAAATTCATATTGGTGCCAATTCTGATGTCTTAAACTAAACTAGTAAAAATATATAATTTAAACTTGTGTTTATTTTCACATTATTCCATAGTCATATCTAAAATCGAAGAAATATAATTATACTCCTGTATACTATAATACGTTTACTTCTGTTACCATATTTAATAGAAGAATGGAAACTTAGGTTTCCGGGATTATGTGCACCAGAATTGGTACCATTATTTAGCAGCCAAAGCCATTCTCTTAAATTATAGCGTAAAAAATATAGAATGTAGTTTCTCATATTTACACAATCGAAAATTCCTAATTCTGCTGTACCTCATAATTATACTTCTGTATACTTAGTTATTTTAACAATTTAAAATGCAGTTTGACAGGACAGGCTTAAGTTAGTCTATTGTGCAACAGAATTGACACCATTGTGTATATTTAAAGCAAGACCAATGCCCTTACTGTCCTCGGTAGTGTTTCCGCTACTAAAGAGTTAATTTTTTATGTGGCTGTGACATAGTTATTACAAACTGGAATGGGGGGGAATGTATGTTTAACATAACATTTATAAATAGACTTTAAAGATGCGAAAGTGTCATGAAACATTTTATATAGATGTAAGGGTCATACTGATGCAGAGTTGAAGCGCCCAATATCAGTCTAATACAAAGCAAATTGATATCTATGACTACAGGTTAAAGGCACAGAATTCTGTAGCTATGAAAAATAAACAACTAGTTATCGATCGGAAGTATACATTTGCGAGTTTGCATCAGCGTACTTTGATCCATAGTAACCATATCGTAAGAACTAAAGTTTCATTAGATAATAAATGAAAAGAAAATCATATATTTGTATACATAATTCGAACTTAAAAGACTTATATTACTAGACAAGCTGTGCGGTACTGAAATGATTCACTTCACTCCCGACATAATTATATTTTGTACGATCAATCAAGGACAAGGAATGCCGTTTTATTGCCTTAAAACAAAATTGAAATCCGCCATATTCATGACGTAATTACTATATGTTTACAAAACAGACACACGGGTTATTATTTAGTGGATTAAAAGATGTTAGTCATACAAGAACAGTGCCATCTAATGATCTTGCTACAAATTAAAAAGATGTAAATAAGGTCTAGACTCTGCTAGAAAATAAATGGGCAGCAGTTTACGACTATTCTGACAGATGCACATTTTTTTCTGCCGATATGACGTCACACCATGACGGACCGTGTGTCTTATCACGTGATACACAGACAAGAAACTTCAAACTTCATTAGAATCGGGATATATTAATTTTATTTTTGTGGAATTTCGTGACTTATTGTGAACTATCCTATTCTGAACAGCTCGTCTAGTAGAATTCGTAAGAAGCCTTCAATTTTAATATATCCAGCATAACCCCTCCGTTCATCTAGTAAACATTCTTTAGTTTTATTTCACGTGTTGGTAAAAGAGCCCGTCGATTTTGTATTTTAAAAAATGCTAATTAATTACTCTGAAAATAAGGGATGTGTAAAGAAAATTTAACTGTATTGTTTTATATAATTTAATGTGTAAAAACAATATTAATAATAGCTTTTAATTTTTAAAGAAAGTTTCGATTCGATGGCGAAAGGAAAATAAAATATGACGTCATTATGTGTATTTGTATTGAGTTCATTCGAAATTTTGCGATATTGGAAATTAAATCTTAATTTTCACAATATAAAGGTTGAATTTTCAAGTTAGCAAATGTTAAGACACTGAAAGATTTATCGTGCGATTTGTTTTATTAATTGCATTATTTAACGTGAGTCTTATTAAACGTACATTTGAGGAGCTCAATTACTTGTAGAGTAAAAACTCTTCGGCTGCTATGTACGTACACCGAAGAGCGTCAGGTCGAATTTCCGTAGTTGTTGTTGACGCACAATAGACAGTTGATACTGAACGTTGCTTACAGTATATTAGGGCTTAAAGTTAGTTACAGAAAGTGCTGATGTCTCTAATATTAGATTAATTTGCATACCTACACATTTTAAATGATAGAGATGTAAAGGTTTCTATATAAAAAAAGGAAAACCTCAATATTTTACTCTTTCGTTACCGAATCGAAACGCTTCAAATACTGGCAGGCCCAGTGAATGAATATTTAATAATAATAAAAAAAAATAACTAACGTTTCAATGTTACTCAAGTGAGATAAATTAAACTATGTGTTGTACAGATAAGAGTCAATTTTGCGTGAATCACTAAGGTTACGGTAATAATATTGTCATGTGTAAAACGCTTGCCTCGATCAATATATAATATGGCGGCTTTCGCCAAATAAAGCTATTAAAATCGACGAAATCAAGCTCAACGTTTTAATGCTGTAGTTTCTAGATTTCATAAATGACCCGAAGCAAATAAAACAAATAATAAAATGAAGAATAAGTGATTGGAAATTAATATCTAAACAGGGAAAATCACTAAAAATTGTGCGTCTCATTAACTTAAGTCTAGATTTGGACGTTGCTTAATTAAAAAGAGAATACGAGGTATAAAAATGGATTTTTAAAATTTAAAAAAAAGCTTAACATCGAACATTTTAAATCTCTCTGCTCTGTGACTCGTTTTGTAAGTTGATATATATAACTTAGTGCATCAAAAATGTATCTTATTGCAATTAGATTATAATTATTACTTTTATGCTCTGCCCCATTTTCGGTTGCTCACATAAGAACTTTATAAAACGAATACATTATATCATCACTGTATGTAACTTTTCTGTTTAATAACACCAATGAATTGTAATATTATTATAAAAAAGTTGTAATATTAAGTTGTATAAAAATATAGATTAATGCAAAACTGCGACGTACGAAGCATAAATCTATAAAATTTGTATTCTAGCATAAAATTTTAACCATTTAAAGAATATATCATACAAAACGAGATCCAGTTAAAAAATAAAAAATTCTGACAAAGAAACTACAACCGTTATCGGTAACAGTGCCGTGATGATGTGAAATGGCGTTATTGAAACTTAAGAAGTTGTTGAAAATGACATTGAAGTGAGAAAAATATTTTATTGATACTGAATATTTTTAGATACTTTTTGCATTGAGTTCTGAACCCGTCAGCGGTTGTTACTGTACGTTTCATGCGAATAGGAAAGGGAAGTAAACAAAATTAATCTTAAAAAACTCTTTATTTCTAGTGTACAGGTATATAAGTCGCAAAAATTAACGTAGCCTTTGGTTGAGCTCCTTCGAACTAATTATTAAATGAAATTTAAGTAATTTAAAATGTTGCTAGTTCTCAAATAAAGGACGTTCACTTAAAAAAATATTTTAGTGAATATTGCATTACGCAACTATGTCACTTATAAATGTAATTGGTATTAACCTAACACGTAGAATTTAGAAGTGTGTCCATAAATTAAGCATACGTAGACACAAAATGTAGATAGTTTAAGAGGTTATCTGAAATTGCTAATTTCTTTGGTAAATAAATCAACGGAAATAGGTAAAGCGAGGAATTGTATGTAATTAATAAAAATTGTATTATATTGTGTAAGCTCTTTGTATATGTATGTTGATTTGTGTGACGTTATAACGCTATGTGAAACTAATGCAGAGTGCGCATTGGGGTTAATTTTGTAATATTACCTATCATAAATCTTCTTTTTGTTACCATTACCTAGATCTTAATTAATGTCGTTAGGTTTTGTTAACGATTGTTTTATTTCTAAATGTGAACGGATTCAAGCAATTCCTAACTTTACCATAAATAAATCGAGCTGTAGTTTCTTTTTCGGGTTTAAAAAAAATTGTCCGTTTAAATCACTTCTATTTAGAATTATTACAGAAAAAGCGAAAAAAAATAAAATCAAATAAAAATGTTTAAATATATTGTGATTATGTATTTTAAATGTATCATTCGCGGTATCCGATTATGTCTTGAAAAATTTCGCATAAAAAAATGATTTCCATGCAAAAAGGGGAACATCAATAATTTAAGTGTCGGTTGGACAAGACATAATGAGAATCGTGGATTCAGCTATGCGAACTATATCAACTCGTGTTTACGCAAGTGTCTTGTTAATACAAGGTTTAAAAAAATTCAGTGAGCTAGTTTTTCATATCGGCCCATTCCCGAATGGTCCTATAGGAAAAACAACTTGCAACAAAAAAATGTAACAGTTTTAACTATGTCTATACATATTATAATTAGTAAGTATCATATACTGTACAAAAAGGCTGCAAATTTGGGAAAAAATGTAAAAAAAATTGGCCTCATTTTTTCTGGGGCCGTTTACATACGCTTAGTAAAATGAATAGGACGATGTGTACCTCATAAGTTTCTGATTTCTAGTTTAGGCTAGTTCGGGTTTTTGAACGCTGCCTCGGTTATAAAGCGTGTTGTATTCATTTTGTAGCTTACACTCGCCAACGCGTTGCCGTTACTACCGTTATTTTTCTTGTAAATATAAATTTTTATCGTTTAGTTCTTTTACGGCGGCAGTCATCCAACGAACCCCGCATTTTGGGAAAGATCAGAGGGAGAGTTCAAAACACTCGAAATTATTGATTAAATAAAAAGAATCGCTGTAAATTGTTTGTAAAAATAGTCATGTTCAGGATTTCAAGTGTAGTTTTGTTGATTATTTTTTTTCAACCGGAATATGCTGAATAAAGCGACAATTCTGTTTCATGTTTGTTTCATTATATTTTGTATATCACAAAATTAGGGAGAGCTTCGTACAATGACCCGGCACTATCTATTTCACTCGTGCGCAAAAATATTGCTGTTGCTCACGCACAAGATGCATCTAGCCAATTTTGTCATAATATAGTGATCTTAAAATGTTTACGATATTATCTAGGTACAGAGGTCAACGCAGTGGGGCGGGGGTTTCTTTTTTTCGTTTTTTTTTTAAACAAGCCAGCTTTTTAGGATACAAGTCCTGTGTTGCGAGGGACAAAGTACACCCAGACTAAGAACAATCACACGAAAAATTGTCCTTCGTGGGGATCGAACCACAACACGAAATGCGTGTATAAAATGTGTAGTATAATTATATAAAATACCTAATTAAGAGGGGCAGCAAAAATGTCTTCCGTCCATGGCGGCAGACATCCACGCTATGCCAAAAAATTATTTCTATTAGGCTACCATTATTATAAGTATCAACGCAGAAGAAAACACGTTTCGAGTACCAAAACCCATGAAATATAGACTTTATTTCCCTCGCGATTCGTCTCATGTGTGTACGCATCCACCAAATTTGCAAACGAGCACAACTCGTACTATTAAGTAAAATATTTTTGTGTCTTAAAAATTATACTACAGTCAGCGTCTTCTGACGCTTGGGCTGGTGATCAAAAAGAGAAGATAAAAGTTCAATTTTATCCAGGCAACCAAAGGTACCTATTGATCTAACCACATTGGCATCCTTTCTTCAAAATTGTTTCGAACCGTCGTTGTACTGAGTTAGTTGTTGGGAGATAAAATAGAAGGGGTGTCGTGATATTTTGATTGCATGCTTAGATCATTAATACAAGGGCGTATCCATTGTTATGTGCACGAGCATGCACACATCACATTTAATGGTCTATTGAGGTGAATTGTCCACGTGCATTATGAAATTATACATTGTACGAAATGTACTTACAACAGAACGGTCCCCAAGGGAAAGAGGATTTTTTAGGTCAAGCCATACGACTTAAAAAGCTAAAAAAATATCATTTTTATGCTGTGTGATTATTTCGGGATTTTTTTCTATTTGTACATACTTCGTAACAGATTGATAAATATGAAATTTGATGGGTAAAGAATTCATTTAAAATCCAAAAGGGTCGCGCTGCCAGACTGACGGACACCAAAAGATGGACTCATTGACTACCAAAAAAATGTGTTGCCATCGAGCGTTCCAATGTTAAGAAATTTTTATTTTCATAAAGTGATGGATGCGATATTGTATTAAAAAGGAATGCTCAAAATTAAAACTAGATTTCAAAAGCACCAATTTATTTACGTTTCATACTTATCAGATAATTTCATATCACAAACAGAATGTAAATCGTCAATATAACAATACTGCTGCGTTTGATTCAGGTAATAACGCTTCTTTGGTTCATCTACCTAGTTTCGAGGATAATATACATTATCATGTCTTTAGAATTCTTATAGTTGTATATCTTGTACTCCATAGTTTGATTACTATTACACCTCAAGGTAACAAATATTTAGATTTCAAAGGTACAATAATTAAAAGTAAAGTAAACTTAAGTTACATTATTAAGAGATTACTTATGGATTTTTACAAGTCAATCTAACTTAGCAAATACTTATAAGTACCTAACACTATTCTAGTTATCAAATATTTTACAATAATGCAGTCATTGAAATTATATTTAAAAACATTAAAATTTTTAAGTAGTCTACTTTATCAAATAGAATGACCATTGGATATAGTGTTAAACTGAATGATATTGTTACTTGTTGAATGGATTTGTAGATTAAGTGAAAAAATATGAACTTCTTCATCTGAGAAAGGCAATCCAATCTGTACATAGAATAATAAAATATCTCTAGGAAAAAAATGTCAAGCAAAGTGAATAATTTTAAATTCAATTAAATTGCATCAACACAGTTAAACAAGTCACACAGGCGGATATTGTACTTGTTTTTGATAACACAGCTTGTTTACATGTGGTTAGTAACTGATTCCAAATTCGAGACATGTCAATGCCGATTTAGTAAATTAGTAGTGTAATATTGTACTGACCGTAAAAACATTATAATCGCACTATCGGGCAGTCCACCAATATCCACTGAGTACCTGACCGCTGAGTATGAGTAAGATGGACATCTAATACATTGTTTACACCTTACAGTTATTGATATAAGGCTCACTATAGAATTATTCCTACGTTCAGTCATCGTCGGAACTGGTAGGTCTGCTCTACACAAACAGATTTATCATATCCACCATAACACCAAATATTCACAGTATTTCTTTTCACTTCATATTAACACACATTTTAGTTTGACCGGTGTTCACTAAAGTCACTTTCAGAACACATTTCACTTCAATTGAAGTCATCACACTCCGTTTATGGCCCACTAGCACTCGAGATCATAGAGTAAGTCGTCCAACTCCATGTGTCATTCAAACGGCGACTCTGGAACTGGTGCAATCTCGTGCTTGTCAGACGAATGCTCCACGAAGTCGTCAGCTTGGGACTCGTCCGAACTAGAGTGAGAGTCCGATTCGCTGTCAGAGTCGTCCTTCTGTTGATAGAGAAAACATGTTATAAATAAAAAGGCGACCTCTTTACATAAGTAACTCTTCTATTACTCATACAAATTAACATGATGCCTGGAGGCCTATTATGTTTCTCCGTAAACTAAATAGCAGTCAATGCACAAGTGGCCTAACCCACGATTTCAAATTCATACTTATATGATGCAATTTATTTAAAACTTGATAAATTGTGATACAAAACCGGGGTCGCACACAGCGCTGCTGGCCTCAATTAAAATTATATCATAATTTTAATCAATTACAAAATTCGTTTCAACAGTCTGTCGATGAGGATGCTGACTTCGATGACCTTGAGTGTGAATTTTTTCTTTTGTCTTTCTTACATTACATTATTTGTACAATATATACAAAATTTGGCATCGCATTAGTAACTGACATGACCTATTTACCCTTTTTTTTTAAATGTAATATCATTTGGTTATGCCGCCACAGCGCTGCTGGCCTCAATTTAAATTTTATCATAATTTTAATCAATTACAAAATTCGTTTCAACAGTCTGTCGATGAGGATGCTGACTTCGATGACCTTGAGTGTGAATTTTTTCTTTTGTCTTTCTTACATTACATTATTTGTACAATATATACAAGTTTTGGCATCGCATTAGTAACTGACATGACCTATCTACCCTTTTTTATTGTAATATCATTGGTTAAGCCGCTACAGCGCAAAAATTTAATTAATAACAAAATTATTTTCTACAGTCTGTCGATGAGGATGCCGACGCCTATTACCTTGAGTGTGATTTTTTTCTTTTGTCTTTCTTACATTACATTATTTGTACAATATATACAAAATTTGGCATTGTATTAGTAACTGACATGACCTATCTACCCTTTTTTTTAAAATGTAATATCATTTGGTTATGCCGCCACAGCGCTGCTGGCCTCAATTAAAATTTTATCATAAATTTAATCAATTACAAAATTCGTTTCAACAGTCTGTCGATGAGGATGCTGACTTCGATGACCTTGAGTGTGAATTTTTTCTTTTGTCTTTCTTACATTACATTATTTGTACAATATATACAAGTTTTGGCATCGCATTAGTAACTGACATGACCTATCTACCCTTTTTTATTGTAATATCATTGGTTTAGCCGCTACAGCGCAAAAATTTAATTAATAACAAAATTATTTTCTACAGTCTGTCGATGAGGATGCCGACGCCTATTACCTTGAGTGTGATTTTTTTCTTTTGTCTTTCTTACTTTACATTATTTGTACAATATATACAAAATTTGGCATTGTATTAGTAACTGACATGACCTATCTACCCTTTTTTTTAAAATGTAATATCATTTGGTTATGGCGCCACAGCGCTGCTGGCCTCAATTAAAATTTTATCATAATTTTAATCAATTACAAAATTCGTTTCAACAGTCTGTCGATGAGGATGCTGACTTCGATGACCTTGAGTGTGAATTTTTTCTTTTGTCTTTCTTACATTACATTATTTGTACAATATATACAAGTTTTGGCATCGCATTAGTAACTGACATGACTTATCTACCCTTTTTTATTGTAATATCATTGGTTAGGCCGCTACAGCGCTGCCGGCATCAATTAAAATTTTATTACAATTTAAATTAATTACACAAAACACTTCAACAGTCTGTCGATGAGGATGCTGACGCCGATTACCTTGAGTGTGAATTTTTTCTTTTGTCTTTCTAACATTACATTATTTATATAATATATACAAGTTTTGGCATCGTATTAGTAACTGACATGACCTATCTACCCACCCTTCTTTATTGTAATATCATTGGTTAGGCCGCTACACTGCCGGCCTCAATTAAAATTTTATCACAATTTTAATAACTAAATAACACAATTTAAATTAATTACATAATACATTTCAATATTGTGTCGATGTGGACGCTTAAGCCGATTGATTACCTTGAGTGTGAATGTGGCTAGATGCGGTGGCGCCGCGTGGTACCGGCACGCGAGTGTGGGCAGCGGCAGCCGGGCGCTCGGCTCACCACACGACGCGCAACCGCGGGAATCGCCGCACGCGGTGAATAGCACCTGACGTACACAACGCAGTACATAAGTAAACGGTGACCATTATTTTTGGTCTCTATGGCTTCACACGGTTTGTTCGTATACTACTAGTCTGTACTGTGTGGCATCCGTGTGTCAAAGAAAAGGGTCTAGTTGAGAATCAGCGTCAACGTCACTGACAAATGCTGAACTAGATGCCTTTTTGACGCAGGCATGGGACACTATTTTTTACTTTTATTTAAGCTTTCTTCTGTATGTTTGTCTTTATTCTACTGTGTACTGTATCTGTGTTGAATAAATGAATTTGAATTTGTATAGCACAGTGAATGTGTATTGGTCCAGGTGGACCCCCTACGTTGGCGTGAAATAAAAATTTGGACGAATTTTGGAAATATGGTAAAAATGTAGCAGCAAGGAGGTCCACCGAAACCAGTAATTTAATTAAGATGGTCTACGAGAAAAATTTTTTAGGAACCTCTGATATAGCCAGTATCAAGTGAATAATTTGTATCAAGTTTTGCACAAATCGAGTTCAACATTTTTCAAGTAAGTCATAGTCCGTCCGCTGGTGTATAGTAGTGGAACAATACCAAAACCATGTCAATTGGAATAATGGAGCAACACGAGATATCACAACAAGGAAATCGAGTTTTACCTTCCCTATAATAGTGCACTTTCATTACACTAAATTGAATAAAACTCCACTAAAATTATGCAATTTTAGTCGAATTTAACACTATTTTTCAGAACATGGAACCCGAACCACAAGCTGCGTTATCAAAATCCCAAATTACTCCAAACGGTGTCCATAACCCATTCAGCTAATGTTTTCGTAATAAGGGAAAGGAAGTCAAAATGGACCCTGTGGGCACAACGGTCTTCTAATATCTTCGTATTTTGTGATTTTATTCTTACGAAACACAGAGTAAACAATGTTGAATAATTTAAAAGTAAGTAGTTTAAAAAAGTAAACAGTTTCTTTTCTATACTTTTTTTTTCTTAAGTGTACCGTCTTTCTATCCTTTCCCTTATTTTATTTTGTGAGGAGATACACAGATGGAAAATAATATGGCGCGTGGTAAAACATCGTTTACCTGGGGTTATATTAGGCCCGGAATTTTGTACACACAGAATGTAATGGTAAAGATTGTCAAACGTATAATACAATAAGAAACCTTATAACTATATTCATAAGGACCAATGGAAGACAATTAGTTACCATGGTTTTATAATGCTCATCTTAGGCAACTGGGACGTGTGAATTTTAAAGGAATTAATCTTTAAAATAAATGTTGCTTATTCGCTTATAACTATAAATTTTAGTCAATTATTAATGTCTTCAATTAACAATAAAATTTAATTATTATACAAAATTACCTGGTGTCTATCGAGCAGTATATGTCTCATACAGTGTTTAGCTGCGGGTAAGGCGGGAATCGAACATCTCACCCCACCCTCTGCGAAGGAACAACGGCCCTGGGGACCCGGCCGGTTACTATCTGAACCCATCTGGAAAAACAATCATAATATAATAAATTATTTGTCGTCGAACGAAAACTATGTAATCAGAATGTAAAAATATGTAATCAGAAGTAACGCCAGGTATATAGGTCATTATAAATTCGTTATTCGTTAACGGGCGTCGTTAACTCAAAGCAAATAGCTATGTGGTAAATTTAATCAGTGCACAAATTTGTATCTTCAGTTCAGTGAAAAAAATCTTGATTGCACAAATATAGGACACGTTACAAAGAAAGAAAATATATCAGACAATATAAAAAAGGCGGCTTTATTGCTATGCAGCTTTCGTTTGGAGGCAACCAATGGTGATATAGAAAAAAAATAATAAACAATAATATTGAAAGGGAGTGGATACAAATATTAAATAGATATATCTAAAGAAGAAAACAGATACGTATACGAAATAGTAATGAGTTAAAAGTTGGAGAGAAAGTAGCTCTTAAATTCTGCCACGAAGGATCGCAAAGTGCGAGCTTTCCTAATAATTTCTGGTGACAAGTTCCAAAGCTGAACAGCTTGGACAGAAAAGGAATAGGGTAGGAAGTCAGAGGTATGAGGTGAGTTCGAGTCTGAGGGCAGAATACATTGATATAGGGATGAGGAGTTGCGTTAGGAAAAAAAAGCAGTACTAAATAAACATATCCATAAAAAACCGACTTCGACACACGGACAGACAGACATACGAATGATCCTCTGATATAGACAATGCTGGGAGGGCGCTGTTAGCCGAAATACAGTAATAAACTAGCTCGGCTACAGGCCATTGAATTATAATGTTTAATTTTAAGTATTTATTTTTTATCTAAAGGTTACTTTTCATACACATTTTCGTACGCAACTCTAAAAACCGTGAATCTTCCAACTCACCTTGGCTCTCTTGCGATGCAGTTTCCTAGCGAGTAGCGCCTCTACTCTATGGTGTCTATGGTACGCGGCGTACGCCTTCAGTTTCCTCAGTTGTCTGCGCTCGCGCACTGTTAGTGGACCAGAGCGAGCCTGGGAGTTTATGCTACCTATAAATATGAACATTGACTAAAATAACAACAAAACAGCTTTTGTACACTTTCATTGAATACACTGAAGCAAACTATTATTGTCAAAAGGTGTCGATGTGTTTAAATTGTATAATAATGGTTTGAGTTAATTAGGTATTTAAAAAAATATACGCACAATCCTATTATTTACAGAATGGATGTATAACAGTAAAGGTTCGCATTTGTAAGATGTCTTATTAGCAAAAGCAAATCCCAGGTTGGCGTTATAATAATTTTATATATCGCTCACTGAATAGTACAGTGGCACAACTCAAAAACCATTATTTCGAGAAAACGCCACAACATTGTGGTGGCATCCCATAGATAATTTAAAGAAAAAATAAAAAACTTAACAGTAATAATATACGATATTATAAACGATCTAACTGTTATGCTAAAAAAAATATTTTAATAATTATAAATATATTAAATTTTCATAACTTCGGAGAGCGTTTCTCGAAATATGGTTTTTGAGTTGTGCCACTGTACTATTCAGTGAGCGATATATCTGTTAATTTTGTATGATATCTCTTAATCAATTAGTTATATACTGTGCCTGTTTTGTTTACATACCAATATGACGTCATTAATACAGCGTGTTTTTATAAAAAAAAATAATAATATAATAAGCCAAGAAAACGTGTGAATTTTGAAAAAATATTGTTTGTGGTAAAAAAAAAACAACATTTACAAAAGGAACAGAATACTCTATAGGGGCAATGTCAAGCAAAAATGTATGAACAAACTCACAGTACTGTTCTTTCTCGGCTTTGAGCGACTTGATGTATTGTGCCCTGGCCATTTGCAGTAACACCTTCAGTCTCCCCATCTGCTTCACGTACAATGATTGCAGTGAACGCAGCGAGTTCTTCGCACACCAGACTGCCTCTTCAGCGGTATAAACACCCGCACGCCTGATAACAATACATATCATCAGGGCGTCACCATTGATTATGGAGAACGAACTAAGTATGAATTATATCTAAAATCAGAGAGCACATGAATCTTTTTACTTGTAGTACGAGCCTGACATCTTCGGCGATTTTCATAATAATAATAGAGAGTATAGTAAAATTTGTTAAGTTTAATAAGCTTATGTAGAATAACTAAAACTTGTAAATAAGTTATCATATTTATTAAAAGAATAGAATAAAAATAATATGGGGGTTTGAACGTACACTTTTCGAATCTATAGGGGGGGAAGGGGGGAGGGGGACTTCCTCAGGCCCTTTTTAACTGTAGAATAACTAAAATTTGTAAATAAGTTATCTTATTTATCAGAAAAATAGTTTCGAAAAAAAAAAAATTGTCTCGAGCTACTTTGTGCTTCTGAAAGCACGCTGCATTTGCAGTCGTTAATACCGTCCAATCCGCATTGGGCCAGTGTGGAGGGTCGTGGCACATCCTCCTTAATCATCCACAAGGAAGGCCTGAGCCCCTGCAGTGGGGACGTAGAAGGGCTGATGATGATGATTATATAAGTAGACTATTAGACTATACTCACCATAAAGGTCCCTCTTCACAGGGCGCTTCCTCGCAGTGCTCTATGGGTCCGGTTTCCCTGCACGAGCCGCCGGGGCCGAGTGTGACACTATCAGCATCACTGTCCGTCCCGCTCGCACACTCCATTATAGATGCCGAGTACTGAGCGTTCACAGCAGTTGCGTCTATTTGCTCTATACAGTTAATGTAGTATGTTACTATAATGTATTATTTGTATATTTTAATAGAATTTCATCAAAATATAAATATTGTTTGCTATGACTTTTGAACTGAGTTTTGTTACGATTAAATTTTTTTTGTGATTTAAAATACATATCTAATTACAGTGTTATGTTTTGCGCTTAACATTTAACTAGGTATATTTGTTTAATTTTTTCAAGCCTTTATTTAACTTGTAATGTATTTATGTTAGTCAAAAATTCAAAACTAATTTAAAAGCAGTTAATCGAAACTTTGAAGTTATACAGGTTTAATGGCGACGCATAGTTAGTTACTTCATTCTAAATCCAATATGGCGGGCCACCCAAGATGGTGGATCACCCAAAATGGCGGGCTGGTTATGATTTAGCACTTAGAGAATATAAGACTATGGATATGAAATGAAAGAATTTGTTGATAAGATTACAAAAAAAATAATAATATAACTAAAAATATAATAATAACAAGATTTTGTTTAGATAAATACAATTTTTATTTTTATGTTCTTGCAATACAGTTTAAATAAACCAATAAATATTATTGACATGACAAATAATACAATTAGATGCGCTAAACATTATAAAAATAAACTTTCAAGAGAATATTATCCTTAATAGTGCTACATTTTAATATACTAAAACGGTTACCATAAACGGTATTAGCTATTTCTATCAAAAAAAGAAATGTTATTAGTTTTCTAAGCCTAAAAATAATAAAACTTTAAAAAATTCTAATTGTTTCATCTTCTGCGCATTTTGAAAACTATATAAAAATACATTAAATATATAGTTGAAAAATATTGTTACGTCAATAGATGGCGTTACTACTCCCATATGATAATTTTCCCACTCTGATATTCAACTATGTATTTAGTATGCTAGTAATTTTTTAAACTTTTTTTTATATTTATTTGAATCGACATTTTTGAGATATATAAACTCTAATGCATCACTGGTTAATATTCTTAATTAAAAAAATGCTTAAAAAATCCACCTTCATCTCAAGAGTGTCGGGGACAAGGTGGATTTTTTAATCTTTTTTCCAGTGTGAATGCCAAATTAAACAAATATACATCACGGCTGTTCTAATTGCAAAATATACATAAATGAATATAAATAAATAAATACTCACTGAAAGGGTCTAACGGAGTCGGAGCAATGTTGTCCGGGTCATGATCACTCACTACTGACACAGACGAAGCACAAGATGTGGTGCGAGCTCTTTCTGGCCTATTCAATTTCATGAAACAAAAGAAACAATAACCAGTGAAGTGATGGGTGACCGAAAATTTATTATCTTAGAAATGCACGTTAACTCGTTATACTCAATTGTATGCGCCCGCATTGTACGAATAGGTCATTTTTATTAAGCTCTACTTTGTTTTGAAACTATCTGTATTTCCATTTCTAGAAAAAAAGAATTATTCTTTTGTTTTGCTCAAAGGTTTTATCTTTTATCGCTTTCTGTCTTCATGCTATTGTATACGCAGTTTATTTTTTTTTGCGAATGTTCAAAACATCGCAAAATAGGGCAGGTAAGTTATGGGTCAAGGTGTTTCAAGGCAAAGGTCCATTGGCATTCATTGAAACATTGATGTTATAAATTGATGAAAGGAACCGAAATCTTTTAGTACTAATAAGTAAAATATAAACCAAATGTTTGTTAAAATAGATAGAGAAACGCTTAAAGTGTCTTAAGGCATGTTTGAGATCCATAGTTAAAATAATCTATACAAATATTATATAGGTATTATACTGAAAAATATTCTTATTGAAAAATGCTTAAAAATCCACTTTGTCCCTGGCACTCTGTGATGGGATTCGAACCCAAGACCTTTCACATTACCTGACGTAATGTTGTAATTGGTTCAGTAGCGTCTCCGTAGTAGTAACCGGGGGCGGTGGCGCAGCGCTACGTTGACGCGCGTGTAACGCTACACGGGCGTGCTCGAAACACAATCTGAAAATAAAACAATAACACATATATATATATATATATATATATATATATATATATATATATATTTACATTGATTACTTATATTTGCACGCGCATTATCCATAAATGAAACAACTTTTAAGCACTTAAAAAATCCACTTGGTCCCCGGCACCCTGAAATGGGAATCGAACCCACGACCTCTCGCAATCCGGGCGACTGCTTAATTTTCAGCATGGCATTGTGAATGCAAAATTAATCAAAATATAATAACTTTAAAACGGTTCCACCTTGTTTGTATTTAGTTTTATTGACGTTTCGGACCCTTTGGTTTTGGTTGTAGATTACGAGAACTGGGGGTAAATAAATAAGTGAAATGTAATTTTTAAAATAATTTAATTTAATAAATATAAAAAGAAATGTATTGTGTATGTGTCCAATAGTATTAGTTTTTGAAGGTAGCTATTCTTTTAATGAGGAAATATTAAAAAAAACTAGAAGTCCATACGGTACTTTCTTGATTTCTCAATGACAACTCTACCGGTTTTCTTTCATATATAAAAGTTAATTAATTTTCAAAACTCAAATAAAACAAATTCATATACTATTTTTACTTTTTCGTATTTATATCAATAGGTATCTAGGTTTCGAATTTCGCAAATTTTAGTTTTTTAATATGTTAGTTAAAAGAAACGGAAACTACTATCTCTGGTCCATTCGTTTTCTGCAAAAATCTACCTTTGATGGAGTTGCATGTGGAGTGCTTCTATTGTGCTTTGTTTTTTTTTCTTAAAATAGTTCCTCATTAAAAAGACAGTCAACACCTTAGTCTTATAGGAACACGGAATCTGTAAAGGGTCCGAAACGTCAAATAAAACTAAATAGAAAAGCGATGAAACCGTTTAAAAAGTAGTTTAATACCAATTTTTAAGTATAAAGTAAGATAAATAACTGTATCGAATGTTTAAAAAATATAAATTTCTTTCTGCTCGATCACGGCAGATTTCTTAAACATTGATGAAAATACGGTGACTAGCAGTGAGAAGAAACATATTCTTGAGAAATTCGAGACTAATGTAAAGGGCTTAACTACTTGCACGTCAGTAAATAAATCATCATAATATGTAAGACATTTACAAAATTCTTTTAAAGTATGTATCTGTCAATCTTTATTTCTTGCTCGAATATTTAACCTCGTCATTTATTAATCAGTCAAAATATAGTCATTAATAAATATAATTGTATCATGAGTCATTTGTGTGGTATTCATCATAATAATGTAATTACTATGTTAATGTGATCATTATGTAATGATTATTACTCCAATTAGAACAAAACATACACTAATAGCAGAATTAATAATAGAAAGATACTTTTATCTAGCAATAAATGACAAAACAATGCAATTTGATAAACAAAATTTAACCTACCCTTGATCCCTGTGGTCCTTGTTTTCGCTAGGGGCTGGTTGCTGACACCTCTCACCGTTACTGTATATGTGAGCGCATTGTTTGTACGGTGCTGTGGGATCCTTCAATATATGCTTCACACAGTACTGACGTCCGGAAAGTACAGGGAGGGTGCATTCATACGTCTTGTTTGCACACGAACGTGAACGAGACATTATCTCTTTCTCTAGCTGAAATAAATGATTTAAAAATAATCTCAATCATGTATTCGAGTAAGCCAGGAGGTGAAGTGACCTGCAAGGATGTTTAGGCAGGTCTCTCCATAACGGAATCCGGGACCTTCTTGAAAGTGTATTTATTTATTGGCATGGAAAACGGAGAATCTTTAGTAATTAGACATAAAACAATCACATTATCATTATAAATTGCAACAAATTGAAATCTGATCAAATCCAAAGAATTCGTTAATTTAAATTGGTATTAATAAATAAAATAAAAACCAAAGAAAAAAAGAATTGCTAGAGAAATTAATTTATATTACATTATTTCGAATCGTAACCTGCTTCATAGAGAAAGATAGAGAAAAAAAAATCGACAAACTGCTAATATTTTCTAGTAACACTCTTTTAAACTTCTGTAAGTTCAGATGGAAAATGTCTAGACAATCACACTTGTAGGATATAAGGTTGAATGCGCGATACTTTCGGGGGTCTAAAATCGGGTTATAGAAAGATGTGTTATTGGTAAAAACTTCGAGAACTAAAGGTTTCGGATTAGAGGACCTAAATTGCATGTTAAACTGCAAACGAGAAACCAAGTACGGAGAGTCTATAATGGAGTTAACCAACTTAAATAGGCAAACCAGATCGGGTCTCCAAAGACATCATTAAACGCTTTAGTTACAACTTTGAGGTCTTAAAAAGTCCAAATGAACGCAGTGGCCATAACTGGGTCAAGTTTACGGTGCTCACCTCAGCTCTAAGTTTCTCCTCCTCCTGTTTCTTGATGGCCTCAGGATCTGGTGGTCTGATCGCTTTGATATTGGTGATGCGCAGGCCGCCCGGCCGCCCGACCGACGATGGCCGCAACATTCTCACCTTAGGTAGGTGGATCACTTTCCGTGGCTGCGACATTGTAGCGGGCGATTTAACTGTTATCAAAAAATATAATAATTAAATATTAGACAACATGAGTAGCTCGTTGGCGTAGTGGATAAAGGCCGCGGCACGCGATCGTTGTCGTTAAGCAACTTTCGCAAGGGTCGGTCACGGGATGGGTGACCAAAAAATTATTATCTCGAGCTACTTCGTGCTTCGGAAGGCACGTTAAGACATTGGTCCCAGCTGCATTTGTAGTCGTTAATACTCGCTAATCAGCATCGGGCCAGCGTGGAGGGTCATGGCCCATGCTCCTTAACCATCCATAAGGAAGGCCTGAGCCCCTGCAGTGGAGACGAATAAAGGGCTGCTGATGATGATGATGATGATAAGACAACATTAAATACACTGTTATTGTATTATAGAAACTATATAAATTGTAACATTCAGGTCCTAAACAATTTAAAAATGTACATTGAGCATGATTAATACCCGCGGTTTCTGAATTGAGAATTTAAAGTTTAGCGTCTCAAACTGAACTTGAAAAGATTTGGTTTCTGATTTTAGATTTTTTTATGTTCAGACTGACACAACTACGACTAACATAAAAAAAAAACATTAAGTTATTGAGAATAATCAGTTGGACTTTTGTACTCTTCTCAATTCAGAATCATACTCAAATGAATAAGAAATAATAACACACAGATTTGGAAAATAAAAATAGAACTATCTAGAATAGACGAAAAACAGTTATTATTGAAAATTATCTGGCAATTGAGCATTGACCGGTTGGATATGCCACCGGGAAATGTTGGTATTGAAAGTACCACGAATTCCCGGGAATCTGATAGTAATTCCAGTTTTATTCAACTCACTTTAGTGAGGTTTATGTATTTAATATTGATTGATTGGATATTTAATGTATATATATTAAAAATATAAAAAATATAAGCGTCAATAGTGTGAAATTTAGTTTTCACGTAAAAAATAAAATATTTATTCGAATTTGTGATTCATGTTCGCGTGTCTTTCTAAGATTCTTACACATAAGGTATCTATTAAAAAAAATGTGCAGTATTTCTATGATGTATGAATATTTTCTAGTTAATACGTACATCAGACAAAAGTCTTTTTAAATAATCGTGTGCCATACAAATACATGGATGATTAGGTCCCGTTGTTATTGAAGAGACAATATATTTTTTTAACATATTTGACTGAAGTAATTAGAGATAGTAAACAAAGCCACGTGGTATTTTATTTTCCGCACATAAAACCATTTACATTAATTGCCAGCGTTGCCAAACCTATATTAGTGCTCTCTTTTACTTGTAGTCACGTTGCGTGGGATAGAGAGAGATGCACGATAACCTGTTTATTAACGCAAGAACAATAACGTCCTACCTGACTATCCAGTGAGCGTGGTAGCCGGCCGGCACTAGCCTTGTGGTTGCCGAACTGTTGTAACGCGTTTATCGTTAACCGCGGAGCGTAATTCTTATAAAAATTAACAAAGTGTAGAACTTTTTAAAAGCACACAAAAGGATTATTTTGCTTTCATCAGTGAATTTAGAGAATATTGTTGCTCTAAGTGCACATGTTTGTTTAGGATTGATTATTGGAGACGATTTGTAAGTAAAATTAAACTGAGTGCATGCAAGTAATTCGTAGCTGCCTTTAGAAAATGCTTATTTTTTTTAACTAAAGTTGTTGACATATTTTTAGTTGCCTATATTTTCAATTAACTAATAAAAGGATTTATTGACCAATCTTGGGGAATGTTTTAATATGGTCTGATGTTTTCTTATAAATATAATTAAAGAAGCCAACAACTTTTTAAAAATTTTACCGCTATTAAAATAAGTATTATTAATTACTTTTTAAATTTGAAATCGGTTCTATTTTTTGAAAAATTATTTTATTGCATTATTTTGAGTGATACTTATATAGGTATTTTTGTGTATAAGAAGAAAACTACTGATTCCATTTTGATAAAATTTAAATGTGACCACCTGGGCCGAGGTGATAAAAAAAAAATTGAAAATCAATTCGTAATTGGCGGAATGATCGCGTAACAAACTCACAGAAAAACGTTCAGTCGATTCGAGAATCTCCTCTTTTTTGAAGTCGGTTAGAAAAAATATACTAATATCTCGCATTTGCAGTGGCGGACTAAGGGGGGGGGGACTCTTGTTATGGGGGCCTCCGTAGTTCCCTTGATCGAATCACAAATTGGGGTTGTACTGCTATCTTTCTTATGTCTAGTTCGTAGTTCTAGCAGGCGTCTTAGCAGGGGAGGGGGAGTGTAAACGCATTATCAAGTTTCGACATCAATTGGAAAAAGTTGTAGGTCCGGGCCTCATGCCGCCCCGGCCCTACGAAAGGGGTTAGTCCGCCACTGCACATTTGACTTATAAGTACGAATGAGTATGTATTCATTATAGGTACAGATTAGAGCACGCAACCAAGATAATCTTGGAATATGATATCTAAACAGTACCGGGTTTTATATAATCTAAAAGTACCGGTATTTTACAGTACAAGTACCGATTTTCCGGTTCGCGTCCCCCAGGTCAGGGTACACTGTAAGGTTTTTAGTGGGTAGGCGTCTGTAGGTTTATTGAACCAATACCCTGGATGTATCCACAGAGGGGAGTCCCACATAACCTCATAGCTCGCCAGGCGGCGGGGTACGCTTAAACCTACAATAAAAATGGGTACCAATCATAAAAACAACTGTTGTAGATACGTATAAATATGATGTACCTATGTAAGAAGTGATTAGGGTATGTACTGAGAGTCTCCAAGAATTTTATACTTGTCCAGAACTATTTTAGATTACACGCATCGATAATATTGCGATTTAAATTCAGTAATTTAATTATTGTGCATATTTTTGTCACATTTGTTTGTATTATTACATTTATAATATACTTTTACAGCCATTTGCAACAGTATCTCGAAATATTACGGACTCGAAAAAAAAACCATTGTAACAATCACTTAAATAACTATTATTTTAATGTAAATGGCAATAGAAATTTAATTGTTTCATTTCTAATACGCTTATCTAATAGGGTATTCTGCTCTGTTTGAAATAATACTTGTAACTGTTTATTTTAATTTAAACAAGCTATAATACAAATATTTCGATAGAATAAACAGTTTTATTGCCTTCAAATTAAACCAAATTTAAACTTTTTTTATATCTGCGAAAACGCTGTTCGCCATATTCATGACGTCATTGTGATATGTACAGAAAACTTTAACTCTACGCACAAAACAGATGCAAAGAATAGAAGATTAAAAGAAGTCAATAAAACAAGAACAATGCCGTATAAGGATCGATTATTATTATTACAAATGAGCTAAGAACAGCGCCATCTAGAAATTCTGCCAGCTGTCGCCAAAGTGGCATCATACAATGGCGGGTATTATTTCAAGGCACGTGCCACACAGAAAAAAAATATCGACTTTTAATTTTAAGATAATAAGATGATCGTGCAATTTTAAGACTCAATATCAGAATGTCTATGTTTATTTCGATGTAAATTTTAGTTTTTGTACAATTTCGTGACTTATTTTTCACTACCGATACTATCCTACTCTTATAGGTTTTAGAGTCGTTTTAGATGGATTGATGGTTCAATATCTTTTTATAAGCCAAAATTTAAGTCTTTAAGAGCCTTAAAAATTTTTTTGATTGTCTGTCGAGAAACTTCTCGACTTCTCGGAAAGATTAATTTTAATAAAACAAAGACTTTAAAGCAATAATAACATTGCTATTGACTACCCTCATGTTACAAAGAAATTCTATCTAAATTAATGAGCAAAATTTGCTACCTACAGTTCCTAAAACTTTTTAAAGACAATAGGTTATACAAATAAATAGATTAGAGATTTACACATTTTTTTACGCTTTAGAGTTATAGTGATTATTGAAAAAAGATTATATACCAGAAAATTTATAACTTTTATTTAAATTTAAAGGCAAAATAAGCATCGTCGTAATTTCGTTATAAAAAAGGTATATTAACAGTAAAGTTTTCTATCATGCTTCCTATGTTAATGATAATTTAATATACGAATAATTAAACTGTTAAAACGTGATTCTTATGTTACGAAAATATCTTGGTATATAAATCCTATAATAAGTATATGGTATATATATCCAATCTAGTCTGTTATAAGCACCTGTATAAGAATATGCCATCGGTTCGCAAATATACGGAACGATTAGAATGTATCGATACTGCATTTCCCATCGCTAGTTATTTGAAAAAACTGAGTTCGAGTTTATTGAAGAGGTTATAAAAGTAACAAATAAAATCGTATGCATTCGTTACTATATCAATTATTATTCTACTCGTTATTTTCGTACCGTTACATTACCTCTGATACCTAATAATATGGTATGTTAGAGCAATTAGTAGAAAATTAGTTTTGAGTACCTACTGAAAAATTATTATTTACAATAAAATGATACAACATTGTAACGATAAATCAATAAAGATAAAAAAATAGTTGAATTCAGAATGAACAAATGAAATAAAAAATCGTATAATGTAATTAACCATGATAAAATTTTAACAACTTAAAACATCAAAGACAAATTTTTTTAAGAATTAAGTTGAACACTTATACGTTAAACTGAAACAGTGTAGATAGGGTTCAAAAAATGCGAGTAACGTAATACATTCGCGAGTAACGTTTCGTTACTCGGTACTAGATGGCGCACCCATTACACAGTACCGAATACATACGATTTGCTGCAGATCTATCAAAAATTTCCTAAATGAACCAGTTTAATTTCACATCAGTCATACCGAATAGCCTTGCGCAATGTATATGTACTCACACGAAAAGAGAGATATACATCTTTTAGCTCGAAGATATAAAAGATAAATATTCTATTGAACACGATAAAGTAAAGCGGTTGAAAGGGAAACGTTCGCAGGTTGATTCTATTAGATTGAAATCATTATGTTGACGTATTAAAAATAAATGGTTATTTACTTTATGTAAATTCGTACTATAATATTTATTTACATATTCCTACATTCATTTACCTAACCATTATTTACCTTTTTTAAATTCTTATTAGTATCAAATGTCATGCGCTTTTTTTTCTTTTTTAATTAATGGCTTATCTGCGTATTTCGCACAATTTTGCCAACGTCAAGTAAATAAATTAATTTTTACAATGAAAATGAAATGAATGATGTCATGCTCATGCGCTGATTGATGTTTCGTTTGATTAGAAACACAGACTACATATCTAGAGAAATTACACATTTTAATTTTCTTGATTTAAAAATATATTTCATTATCATATGGCAAAAACAATCGTCGAATAAAGTATTTTTAAATTTATGAACTTTTAACCAAATAATTTTCTATTATTTATCGAATTGGTGTGAGACTTCTTTAATACGCATGTACCCAACGTATAGTCTGTGCCAAACCTCTAGATCGTTCTGAAGTTGTTTCGATCATAGGTCCGGTTAGAAAGTAAACTTTATGTTTATGTTCATAAAACACCGTATTCCTACGCGACACAACTTCAGAGCAAACTAGAAGTTTTGCAAGGACTGTTTCATTCACTCTCATTTATCGTGTTATAAAGATATACATATTTCAAACATAGGCGAGCGAAATGATATATTATCTCACTTGAGACAAATGTAAGATTTATATCACTCGCTTGCGAGCTACTCAAGTCTAATACCGAAACGTACACCATAAAGTAAATACACCTCGGTATAATAACAATTAAGTTGTTAAGGAATAACTGAAAAAGCAAAACTGAAAAGAATTTATATCGTATTCTAAGGGATTGTTGTAGGTAATGCAAGGGTTACTTTCTAATAGGCTTCATCATAAAATCTATGTGTCAATATTCTCAGATTAATGCCGATTATAATCGTTTGCAGTACTTGACATTTCGTAGTAACTATTAGCGTGCTGCTGTGTGTACACACGTGCTTTACGTCAGTACCATATCATGTCGAATATCCGCTAGTGATTCTGTAGTCTATCCTCAATAATTAAGATTTAAAATCAAATGGAGAAATTTAAGTTTAGTATAACCTGACGTGCTGTTGTCTGTACATTTACATATTATTTACAATGAAACACAAATTAATTACACGACAAGGTTAAATAACTTACGTTCTGATATTCTGATGTTATGAGCTTGCAAATTTAATATATTTTCGCTGCGGAACCGAAACATATTGCTATTTTTTTATTTTTCAAACAATTGAATTATCAGTAGAACATGGACTCGTCAAGTTAAATTAATAGTTTTCTATAATATCGTTCCAGTTATTGCATAATATTATGTTAGTAAATATTTCTTCAATTTGGCTTTCGGTCGAGGAAACTATCTACGTGTCGCGCGCAAAATTTCTGCCGCGTACAGGAGACGGTCAAATAAACATCTTATTATTTAAATAATAAATAATATACTTCAAAACAACTTATGAATTAAAATAGAGAGTTTCTAAAAATCATTAACTAATTACTGTATAATTATTGCGTCCATTAGTCATAACATAAATAATTTCAAAGTCTATAAAAGTAAGGTGAATTGTAAACAGTGGTGGGTCGGCCATTTGCATGGTGTCACAGAGTTTTAGGTCCGTATTTTTAAAGTCAGATTTTCGCGATAAAAAGTCGACGAATCATTACAAAAATATGCACAAAAGAAAGAGCTTAATCCAAAGTATTGCACGAAATGTAATGATAAAGTGAAACATACCTGTGTTTGTTGCAGATCATCATTCTGTCACCGGAGATCTCACTACGTTCACCATCAAATTTTACAATGGCGTCCGTCTGAAAATACCTATCACGTTTTCGAGTAGTGACAATATTATTTTATTTAGTTTTCTTGTTATTTTAAATTTTAAAAACAATAATTATTTTTAGTTCTTGTTCAGTGAATAATTTAACGTTATCGTCTTTAAAATGCTTAGACTTTAGTTTGTTTATTACTCAAATGTTAACGTGGTCTTTATCCGGTCGCCGCTGTCATAGCGCTGTCCCTTTCCCACTCACGCACGTAGACGGAGCTCTGCTTTCCGTCGTGCTTTTCCCCGCGCAGTCATTGCAACATCCGTTCAATGGCTGGTGCACAAGAAAAATGGTATTTTACAAAAGATCAGCTACAGAATTCACCAAGCAGAAAATGCGGTTTAGATGCAGATAAGGAGCTAGCATATCGGCAGCAGGCCGCAAACCTTATACAAGATATGGGCCAGCGGCTTCAAGTGTATCCTTTTCAAAAATTGATTTCAGTGCAATGTTTTTGTCGAGTCATGTGTTGGAAACGCGTATTTATAGTTACGAAAGTGTGTTTTCATTTATGAAATATGCAATATTGTGCTACGATATGTGTATGGAAAGTGATAAAATGTGTTGTGATCATACTCGACGGTGAAAAAATGTGACGAAACATCGATGTGCTAACGGCGTCACCATGGGCACTTTCGCTTGGAATATTGGGATTTCCCGCTCTCCCCGTGAGTAATACCCCAGATTTCTACTCGTGCACATTCTCTTTTATCAAATGTTTTTACGTAAACATTTTATTGATTGTATTCTGTATAGGTTAGGGTCAAATGTGATGGCGTGGTTCGAGAATTGTAGGTCACTGCTCCCTGACAGCTGTGTGTAGACGCTTGCGCGGCGACGTAGGGCATGTCTGGTGATCGACCTGTCTGTTGCCGCTAAATTTACCTTGTTACACCACGTTTTTGCGTGTTATTCGCGTTATACCACGGTCATGAGATAAGCAAAACACTATTCCGATATCTAGATGTTTGCGTTCAAAACATTATCGGTTTTACTAAAACCATTATAGAAGGCCAAGGACACAACTCATTTTGTTTCAAATATTTGTGTAATTAATATAATTCAAACTGTCAACTAAATAACCATATTTGATAATGTACATACCTATGTAACATAAATAATTATTTTATAATATTCAAGCATTTCAAACAATCAATATGAGTTATATTTTATCAGGTTGTAGTATATTTGCCAGTAACGACATGTCAACAATCAATTTATAACCTATCCTAATTATCTTTGTCATAATCTGCCTTTACTAGAAATATTCACTTTATTTAATTGCATCAACTATTAAAACTTGTTATATTCTAGTCTGCTAGTGCAAAGCAAATGAATTAATGATTACAACAGTCTAAATTGAAGTCACTCTTGGTTGCTGTCATTACTAGTTAGTCTTAAAGTTATTATTTATTTCAAGCGAACTATTTATTTCAGTACAATCTTTACTATTCCATACAAATTTTCTTCAGTTATTATCATCTTTGCAAAACTAGGTTGGTTGCAAACTCAAAACAATAGACATTTCTTTATTAAGTAGTTTGAGTAATTGAAAATAATCTTATATTTGTTCAGGTGATACGGAGACATTTAAAATATTCATAGCAAAATAGGTAGTACAGAATAATGATTTTAATATGAGTTTAATCAAAATCTTTTTAATTTTTTTGAGTTTATGCTTCATTTAGGCATTCATTATCTATAATTAATTTATTACATATATAATTAAAAACTTGGCAATGAATGATTAATGCACTTGTTGTGTATGTTGTCCCTTCTATTATTTTGTATTGAAGATAAATTTAAAGAAAGTCACCAAGTAGTACTGTAGGTGAAGATTTTCCAGGTCATGACCTAGTTGTGTCACAATTTTTTTATTTTACCTACTCAACAACATGGTTTACTTAAGCTGCAGTATCTTTGGCATTGTTAATGATGAATATGGTTTTGTTTAGTTCCTTATTTGATAAGATTGTAAAACTCAAAACAAATGATATAATTATTGGTCATTTATATACAAAGTATAAGTATAGTTTGTGCTGTGATCTAGTTTTGCATAGATGTAATTTATATGTGAAGTAGCTTGTGGAGAAAAAAATATTTTAATCATTGCTATACCTCAGTAAAAACTATAGGAAAATCATAAAAAAACAATACCATTATCTATTAAAAATGCAAAAAATCATATTTGTTGTACAAGAGTCCCTTTCTTCTATATCAGCTTGGTGTTTTGGCTGTAAATTTAGAACAATTATTTTTACATTATAATTATTAACAATTAGTAATACTTTTATGGGCAAGAGTCATTATGACATTTCTGGTTTAACCGGTAACTATTACTACCTTCATTCCTACTTATGTATAATAAATATCTCTTGGAAGTTAAATAATAAACAACAATCTAAAAAGTTGAATTTCTCATGTCTTGTCATATCTACCTATCAGTTATCTCAATAATGCAACTTATGCCTTAGGTAAGCATTGACTGATAATAATTTATCTATCTGTAATGTTGCCAATGCCTTCTGAAACAATACTATTTCTTAACAATATTACATATATGTTTAATAGGGATGACAACATAAATTTGTTGTTTGTCAGATAGATTGTGCAATGACTGTCTCAACATCTTAAATAGCATTTAAATGGTAAACAATTGATTTTTTGGCTGAAAATATGGCTGTATATTTCAATACCTTTGTCTTAGTAATGGCGCAGATACACATAAACTATAGTTTAATAGTTTATGTGTACATACAGATGCCTTATCCCATAGACCAAAATGTGACCAACCCAACTCAGGTGATTCTTCTGGCTATCTTGTCTTACTTGAGTTGGACTTGGCTATTCTATGGATTTTCGCATAAACGTCAATAGATGGCGTTGATTCGTAGCACACTATAAAGAAATCCGTCTGCATTTAATTTTTTAAACCATACTTTTGCTATAAAATTATGATGACTTGTAATTTTATGAAAACTAGATTAAATAACCTTTTATTAAATCTTTCTGAGCTAAGGATTTTTTTCCCTTTAGGAAATTATACTGGTTATTATATATTCTGGATTTTTCACTAACATAAAATATTGAATATTGTGCCATTTATTGTGGTTTTTAAGAACATATATTTTTTACTTAGCAATGAGACCCCATGATAATAGGAAAACTGTATGTATTAAATGGATAATGTTGTATCAAATTTGTCTCTATTGAAACTTTGCTGAATACTTTGTTATTTTCTTGATCTATGACTCATACATTCACGGAACTACCAAGTGACTCAACTTGTATTTGCACCATTTTCCTTGAAACAGCTGATTACAATGTTGTTATTTGCATTCAGACATTATGTCAATACAAAGAATTGATAATTCAATATAACACCTAAATAACAGTAGTTATTATAATATAATTGTCTATAATATTGTTATTGTAAAACAAATTTTTTATTAGTACTACAGAAAATAATGAAAGGAAATTCAGTTTGATAAAATACTCTAAATATAAAGGCTATCAAAGCACTGCTGCTGACACTACTTTCTGTCACCATGCTGCTATAATTTCTATGGAAGTTAATGGAATTGGCGACTTTAATTTGTACTATGTATTGCTATAAAAGTAATGAAAGTTCAGCTTAATATATTTAGGTTATTATATTTAATAATCTTTTATTAAGAATTTTAATATATGGTATTATAATTAAGCAGAAGATAGTGGAAATTGTTTAAATGTAGGAGTGATGGTAATAATATAAACATTTATAAATGTGAGATAAACAAAGTATATGACGTCAATTGATTCACAGGCATCATCAGATAGCACATTTTAAATGATAGTAAAGAAACTGATACCTACTACATTACTTTTACCTATTACATCATTGAATCTTTTCTGTTATTTTTTTATTATTATTTACTGGCTTTTTGTTAGCCAAAAGTGTTTTGCTGAGTATGCCAACATATGACTTCAAAGCTATTATGTCAAAATAATGCATTTTGCACAATTACGGAAATAGGAAATATAAAAAAATATTTATGAAAAAACGAAATCCTTATACAACAAAAAATAAAGTTTTGTTTACAACTCCTTTGTTGTTAAGAACAAGATCAGAGTGCACGAGAGAGTTTTGGGAATCGGAATCTTTCCTTAAATTTTGTCATTTATAGTGTAGTAAGCAATATGCATATTTCATATACTAAGATTTTGATGAACCTTACTGACGATGTTATTTTTCAACACATTTCTCATTATGTATTTTTTATAAAAATACTTATTTGATTGGTCTATTGTGTAATTTAAAAGAATGTTAATTGGTCCACTTTAAGTTTTATATGTTAAATCATCATCATTGCAGAGAGGCTATAATTACCCACCATTCTGGCATACCTAGTAGTACACATTGGTTTTAATCAATGATTGCAGATGCATCCGGAACCTAAGGCTTGATGCCCTTGAGCTGGAGAAAAAATATTTTTCAGCCTTTGCGAAAGTCTCCTTACCTAAGAAGTCGCAGAACAAAACTCTTGTTCAATCACAGCATATCTTTAACCACAGAAAGCATTATTGAAGACTGAAGCCAAACCTTTTGTTTTCTTACTTAGACACAGTGTTCAATTTAGCCTTGACATGACCTTATTTTCATAGTGTCACCAATTTTAGAACCTTGACAGTAACACTTCTTTCAATCTATTCAATGTCAACTTACTTATGAGATGTTTTTATTGATTGCTGCGTTCATTGCTATCATATTGCGTAAGTCACAAAAGTGGACTTAAAGTCGCAAAAGTTGAAGGTTTCAAAGATATACTAGAGTAAATTATTTTTGCATAACAAATAGAATTTCAATTGGACCTTTAACAATATTATTATTTAGTTTTTAACATAGACCGATACTGATATTTATGTGTGTTACAACAATGTACTCCCGATTTCCTTAACTACAGTTTAATACAGATCTCAACTATGCATCAACACGGCTATAGTGTATATGCACAGATTTTACGCTTTCCACAGTTTCACACAGTTCCACAGGAATGCCATAGCTGCCGCTGCTCTGTTTCTCGCCGCAAAGGTAAAGTTTTCCTTTTAATCTATTTTTGGGACATTTTATATCATATGGGTATGTAATATAATGTCACTTCATGAGCATATCAGGCTTTCATAAAATGTAGGTTGCCACCAAAGAGATTTAAATAGGTTTATAGGAACGCCTTCAAAAGTCCGTTGTCCGTCACGTTATGCGCCCGCGCGCCAGGTGAGGGCACCACACCACCGGTTGGGCGTCGATCTGCGGCCAATGAGCGTGCTGATAATTCCATAAATGTAGGCGCTGTGATTGGTCTTTAGGCTTGTTTTTGATCCCCCGTTTATTTTAGAACTTAACTGTCTTTACATTATGATTTAAATATAATTGTAGTAGTAAAAGTTTTGTTTAACCTGAGGTATTCTTGGGTAATTGTTGATAGTCATGTATGCAAAGCATGCAACCTTTTAAACTCCAAAAGTTAACAAACATTTCTTTGCATTGAGTATGAAAGTTTTTTTTCTTAAATTCAAACAATGTTTAATATTTCAAGAAGTTACACTTCTCTAAACAAGTTGTGAACATAGTAATATAATTATATTGTACTATATTCTAACAGGTGGAGGAACAACCACGGAAACTCGAGTATGTGATAAAAGTGGCCCACGTTTGCCTCCACAGAGGTGATGGAGCGAATTCTCTCACCCCTGAACAGTACCAAGAACAGGTGAGGAATTAACACAATATGTACTTTATATGAAGATAATGCTGCATATAATATTGACAATCATAACTATTAATTTGCATTGTAGTGAAAGGAAATCCAATTTTCAAGAGATTATTTATTAATTTCTATAACACAGAAATGCATTATTGCAATTTGCTCCTAAGTATACCTATGCTTTTGTTAGTTCCGGGGGTCAACATCAATATTTTGTTCTTTTATTATTCATAAAGGAACAGTATGGCCATCGTATTGTAGACATTCTACACACTATCGATTCTTGCCGTCTGTCTGTTCTCGGTTCAAAACGATAATCTGCAGGTTTGTTAGATAAGATGCATGATAATAACCCTTTTGTATAATAGTGCATCGTGCATAACCGGACTGCACGAATAGTAGGAGGCTATACCAAATATATGAGTAGATTAGTATGAGTACATATATTGTATTTAACTTTCATGGTCACTATTATTAGATTATTCAGAAACTTCAGACGAAAACTTACAAGGTTTTTAGCTGTATGATCATAAGCCGATGGGGGTATTATAGCGATTTTTAAGAGTGCTTGTTAACAGCCTAGACTGATAGATACTGATTTGATATGATTTCAGTTAGACCACCCTAAGTACTAATAATATTTGTCCACAGGCGCAGGACCTGGTCTTCAACGAAAACGTACTTCTACAAACTTTAGGGTTCGATGTTGCGATTGATCATCCGCACACGCACGTTGTGCGCACGTGTCACCTTGTCAAAGGTGAGACACGGGTCCAATGCGCGTCACGTGACCTCAGAGCGCTAGTCACGTGACACAGTTTGAAGGGAGCGAGCTTGAAGTTGATTATTTAACGCGTGCGGCGGGTTCGATTTTTTTAAATGCGGCAGTTGGTTCAACGCTTCTATGGTCCACCTCTATGGTTTCTGTTCGTTTTTTAAACTGGCGTTCGGTTTTTTTATGATCACTGTTTTGTTATTTCAATAAAATAAATATGTAGTAAAATGTGCGTTTACCGAAAATAATTTATGAATTTCACGTGCGAAGGAGAAAAGCGTATAATATAATTCAATAACTTTTCAGTTTTTTTCAATTAAAGGAGTCTCAAAACATATTTATAGTATATGACGATTTCAACATACGCGTTGAAATTGGAATTTCATATCGTGCCATTAAGGTAGAATTTTCATCATTGAACTGATCTCATCACTGTTGTTCGCTTGTGATCACTTCCTGCAATTAAATACTGCGAATTCCACCATAAGTGACGTGATATAAAGTTCACATTGCATTTACTGTGAACCGTTTTCTAGCTTTAAAAGTGGATGTGAAAACCTTTACATAATAATATATTCCTCTCTCCTTTCTCTCTTTCCCCTTTTCCTTCTGCATCTTGTTTCTCATTTGCTCCTCTCTAGTATTCAAAAGAGAATCGAACGCCATTATTTTTCTTCCAAGAGACCATAAAGACACGTTGATGCCGCAAAGAACTTAGCCGTAAGCGACTTGAAAAGATTTTTTTGTGTCCAGTCTGTGCCCAATGCCGAACTTTAATCTTGCTCAGGGATAGCAAGGTATGTAAAAATTGCTAACACGATCTTATGTGTGTTTGTGTGATTCACCCTCATACCCTTCACATTTTCATTTAATTGTAGTTGGAGTAAAAGTCTTTTCTTTTATATGGAAGCTTAAATGAAATCAAAATAGCTGTTTATCCTCGTTAAAACTAAGTTTTTCCTTAAAGGTTAGAATGTCTTGCTTTCATTATTTTTATTGTATATGGTGCCAATGCTCTAATTGGATACCATGTTTTTTTTTATCAATTAAATAACAATAGTTTTAATAAATTAATGATTACGCTTATACAGTTAAAATTGTAATCAGAACACAAACTTAATCTTGTGTTCATTGCTCTAAATCAGTTGCTCTATAATGCATGTAATTCTAGAAGTATACTTGTATGAAATGAAACATTTAATATCAATTGAAAATAATTTCAATAGAATAAGACTTATTTCCCTAACTAAATCAATGCAATTAACTTTTATGTAACTAATAATTGTTTTATATATTTCGCTTCTAGTTAAGCACATCTCATTATTAATTCTGCATAATCATTGATTATGATGAAATCATTATGAATAATTCTATTAATTAATAAATTAAAAAGGAACACATTGTTCCAATCCTAAACAAACAAATATAATGGAATCCTTGTATTATGGAAATCTCAAACAACGAATCTTACCATTATACTCAGACACGAGACGATATAGTAAAATCAGTTTACACATTTAACTGGCCGGGACTCGAATCCAGGACCTCAGAGATGGTGATCCCTAAAAAATCGACTGTAAGCTACTCGGCCATAGAAGGAGAAAATTATTAATGGGAAACAACGAATTAAAGTATATGATATCTCTTCTATAAAATATTCAATATACACATTCCCCATTGCCACATTTTATGGGAATTGAATGAAAATTCCTGTTATTGCTGTTTTTATTTCTTTAAAACAACCCTTGCTGAGTTTCTTGACGGTTCTTCTCAGTACAATGTCTCATGCTGTACATTTGCGTACCAATGGTATAGTTTTTTTGTTATTTCCTCAAGTATATATAAAGCCTAGATGTAATAAATTATATTTAAAATTGCCAATAATATCAATGCAAAGGTCTTATAGTAAAAAAAAAAAATTATATTGTCAGGTAATAAACTAGAGATGACAGTGAGTTTTAAATTACTTGAAAAGAATAACATTTATTTCATAATATAATCATCTTCACTATTTAAATGGGGACAATGGGAACCCACCTTATCTATTTCTTTTGAGAAACCCATAATAATAGAGTAAGTAATTTTGGAGAAATTTTTATTATGGGAGATTACTAATCATAAATCAGTAGTGTATTAATGTAATAAAACCTCTATATGCTGTTGCTGCATATAGAGGTTCAATCAAAGAAAAACTAATTCAAAAGTTATTAAAAAGTTTTATTTCTTTGAAGCTATATGTTATGATATCACTGTGTTCTGTCTAATTGTGGCTTATTATTATTATATCGATTTTCTTACTTTCGATACTGTTAGGTATGTACGTATTGTATAGGACTAGGTATTGAAACATTTACCATAAGATGGATAATGTAAAAAATAAGTTAGTACTTGATTTAATTAAATTGGCCGCCTAAAGCAAATTGACAATGACAAGAGGAAAATTGAGTTTGGGACATGATGACTTTTTTGGTCAGATTAAGGTTTAAAACATGTACTAATGTTAGTCTTTGATATATAATAAGTCAGTAATAGATGTGGTAGGTGTTCCATCTTACAATATACTTTTTAAAAAATTACAGTTCCTTTAAACCGAGAGATTAGTATATTTTAGTTAATGGAGATTACTTGATTGATTTATTTAAGGTATACTCGCTATTTTAGTTTCCTAAAATTACTGTTATTCCAAAATTAAAAAAGAAATCAATAAAACTAGGCTAGAAATAAAAAAAAAAGATTTGATAAAAATAAATGAACATATTCTGAACCGAGCATGTTTTGTTTCCAGCGCCAAAGGACCTAGCTCAGACTTCGTATTTCATGGCGTCGAACAGTCTCCATTTAACGACGATGTGCCTTCAATATCGACCTACCGTTGTTGCGTGCTTCTGCATACATCTGGCATCTAAATGGAGCAACTGGGCGGTGAGTGAAAACGTAAATCTGATGTCCATTTATATTTTCCTAGCTTAGTCCGCCTTAGGGAACTTTTAGTGGGATAAAAAGTAGCCTATGTAAATGTTTATTCAGGCTTAGAATTATCAGTATACCAAATTTTGTCAAAATGAATTCAGTAGTCTTGCTAGAAAAAGTAATAAACATACATCATCATAAATATTAGCATTTATAATATTAGTAGGAATTCTTAGGTCACCGAGATCACTTGGATTGTGATCTCTGTGACCATCCCGGAATCATGTCACATTAAATATAAGTAGTGTTTTAATCAAAAAATAAACAAACAACTTATATCTGAACAATTTCTGTTCTCTGCTTGATATATATATTTTTTTAACAAATTAAAATGAAATAAATGTTCTATATATAATATTTTAATATATTTAGCGCTCATGGCATAATATTATTGATATGTTTGTTTGGTTTATGCATTGTATTTATTTAACATGAATGATAAGTTTTATTAATCCACAGATACCACAGTCGAATGAAGGACGTCATTGGTTTTCTTACGTGGATCGGACGGTCACCACAGATCTGCTGGAGAAACTCACATCGGAGTTCTTGCATATATTCGACAAATGTCCGTCCAGACTCAAGAGGAAAATGATGTCAATGACGTCCACAAGTAAATATAGTTTTACTATTTATAAAATTTTATTATATGTACATGTAGAGTAGCTCGGTGTCGTAGGGGATAAGCGCCGCGGCCCGCGATCGTAGTCGTTAAGCAACTTTCGCATGGGTCGGTCACGGGATGGGTGACCAAAAAATTAGTATCTTGAGCTACTCCGTGCTTCGGAAGGCACGTTAAGCCGTTGGTCCCGGCTGCATTTGCTGTCGTTAATACCCTCCAATCTGCATTGGGCCAGCGTGGAGGGTCATGGCCCATCCTCCTTAACCATCCATAAGGAAGGCCTGAGCCCCTGCAGTGGGGACGTAAAAAGGCAGTCACATCACCAGAATTATATGTACAGATAAAAAGGCAGGCTAAAGAAGTGTAGTTATGATTATTTGATTAAAGAAATATTATGATTTTTTTTTTTCAATTATGACTTGTTCGCTTTTGACAATGATTGGAACGAATTGTCACTTAATTTTTGCTTAGAGAATCATGCCCACTTTCCCCCAACATTTTGTTTTAAAGTCCGTGTCTACCTTCGTTTAGTGTTATTTCAAATTAGTTTTTGCTTTTAATATAAAAATGAGTCATTCAGAGGATATATAAAAAAAAAAAATGTGTTTTGAGGTTGTGATTGTGAGGATAGTTTAAAAATTTATCCATTGACATTGAAGCTTATTATAGTTTTATTCTTAGTTGTGAAAATGAAATTTAAATTAATTAAGTGTACCTTTTTGAATCTTATGATGAACTAATATTTTTCCATTGTACGGTCGGAATCGCATTGTCGTATTTTAGATTGAACTTTTTAAAAACAATTGACAGTCTATTCTAACCTTATTTTAAAAATTAATTTTGCGCTATGTGAAATAAGTAAAAAATAAGGTATATTTCGAGAGTCATCACTAGATGCGTTACTTAATTTTTCTGTCAAAATTGGACATTATTCTTTCCGTCTTATCTTCTTAAATATTTTCTTTTTTATATCTATATCTAACTTTAAATTATAAATAATGTATTTGAGATTATCACAAGACCTTTCATTTGATATATCATATAATGTATTAACATGCATTTCTTTTTTAAGTTCCCAAAAATAGGCCCTTTATATAAGTTGTTATTGTGTCGTGTTAAGTGTGTTGTTTTGTCGTCAGGCGGCAATTCACCTCATTCAAGCGCCGTTCACCCATCTGGATCCAGTGCGGTGGATAAGAAACATCCGCCCACTGGAGACGAATTTGATAAGAATTCATTTGACAAAGGTATGTACAGTTTGAAACTAAGTTCTTTAATAAGTAAGAATAGTACTGACAACCAGCCATCTTGGTTCGCATTGCGCTTTAACTTCGGGGTGCACACCTTACGTAAATAAGGAAAAATCATAAAGGCTTCTTTCTTCATAAACAAGACAAAAAGTCCTATTTAGAAAATTACTAATATTCTATTAGTGTCTTATAAAGTTTTGTCAATACTAATAATAAATTCAATAATACAATATAATGTATACGGTTAAATGAATCTGAAAAATATTCAGCTAACTTTATTTTCTTTGCTGTCAGCACTATAATGAAAACTAAGCTGTGAAGTCGATAGCTACCCTGGTCCTATTCTTATTTGGCTCACGTATTATAGGAAATAGTTTCCAATAAATACTTTTTTATTCGCTCGGTTGGCATCAACATCAAGATTTATTCTAATTTCTAATTATACATAGTAAGGGTTATTTTAATAAGATCTTCTAAAACCTGAATGTGTTCCGCCTGTGCCGTCATTGTATATTATGTATTTTTATTTAATGATTTTTCCATTCTTTGTGTAGAATACGAGCGTGAAAGACGAAGACAACCCGTCCCCGGCGGATACATTCCCGCCACGGCACCTTCAGTGCCCCCACCACAAAAAATAGACTATAACCTGTACAGAGAGAAGAGAGAGAGGGAGGAAAGAGAACGGCGCGAGGAAAGAGAGAGACGGCAAGCCCTCCAAGCGCGAACCGAACAGCGGCCTACAGACAGACCGTTAGATAGACCACAGGAGAGGCCACAAGAGAGACCACAAGAGAGGCCACAAGACAGACCACAGGAGAGACCCCAGCAAAGACCGGTCCAACAGAGACCTATACAACAACACAAACCCCATCCTAATTGGCCTCATCATAGCAAACCGCCGCATAAACCCCACGACCATAGACACCAAAGACCGCCTCACCTCCCTCAACCTCAAACCCAACCGCAAACTCAACCTGAAGCTCCTAGAACTAGACCTCCATCGTTATTCTCGCCAGAAAATGCGACAACTCCGATAGCGGCGGCAACTGCGCCCAGAAGACCGCAACCGCCGATTCCTCACAGAAAACCGGAAGTCCGGCCGAATCCCCCTCCTCAGATGCCTCAAAGACCCGAACAGAGACCACCGAGTCCGAAAAGACGACCTGATCCCACTGTTGCGGTTAGAGATATGCAACCGCCGACTGCCGTATCCCCGTTCTCGTCCCCACCGAAAGAAAGACAACCTCGCCAACGGGCCCCGTCAAATTCCGAACCAGAATTAATACCAGTTGTGAAAAAACTAGACGAAACGCCGGGTTACGAAAACGTCATAAGAGACTCGCAAAGAGGGAACGCGATTAGGCCGAAACAGGAAAGGTCCGACGTGCGTATAAAACAGGAACCGACGAGAACTGTGAACGGTATAGAAACTGACCCCACTCTAGTATCGAATCTATTGAAGGAGAGCTTAGCTAAACCGGTGCCGATCACGGTGCCGGTGGAAAAGAAACCGATATTAGTTGAGCCCAAGAAGGAACCGGTCGAACCCCCACCTCCTGTACAGGTAGCACCGCAACCGGTACCGGTAGCACAGCCGGAACCGGTACCGCAACCGGTCATAGAAGTAGAACCTAAACACAAGAAGGAAAAGAAGAAGAAGGACAAACACAAACACAAGGACAAAGACAAGAGTAAAGAGGAGAGAAAGAAACACAAGAAAGACAAAGATAGAGAGAAGAAGCGGGAGAGTCCCGTTCAGGAACAGCCGGCTGCCACAGACGGTAGTTTGAGGATAACTATACCTAGGGACAAATTATCCTCCAGTCCCGCTTTGAAAATCAAGATACCTAAAGAGAGATTGGCGGCGCCACCCCCACCACCTTCAGGATTGAAGATCAAGATATCGAAAGAAGTTCTGGAAACTTCTAGAAAGAGGACAGCGGTGAATGAAGCCGGCCCGCCGCCGAAGAGACATCAGAACGGAACCCCAAAGGTAGGCAATTGGAATGTACCCCCTCCTTACAGAGCCCCCCTCCCTTATTTTATGGTCCAGCCGCCTCCTCCGTTGTATTACGGGATGGGCATGGACGGTTATTATTACGGTGGAATGGAGTACATGTATCAGCAACAGCAGATGCAGCAGAATATGTCGCAACTGCAGCAAAGTCAAGCTGGCACGCCGCAACCGCCGCTACCGGCGATGCCCCCGCCCCCTGTACCGCCGCCTCCGCCGGAATAGACTGCAATCTTTTAGAGTAGACGTTTGTGATGTTAAAAAACAATGGGTAGTTTTGTGTGTTTGTAATCTCAAATAATTATGTAGGTACATATTGAAAAATAATATTTCAAAGTTATTCAGTGTGAATATACATCACTGTTAGCCTAATAATTTACAGAATTATAAAACATTTATCGCGATTGGACAGTTATAGGAATATTCAGCATCTTCTAAATGTCTAGTTATCCACACAGTAAGGGCAGAAGTACACTCTGACATAACAACTATTCATATCTCTAAAATATTTAATTAGTAAAGCGCATAAAGTCTTTGTTTTATTCAAATGCTCATATATCGAGATCTTGATGCAATCCACAAAGGTGTGTTATACTTTATAATCGGTGCACATTATAGGTAGTATTTTATCAACTTTGTAATGAAAATCGAGTCTAAGTCGAGAATAGTAAAGTTGATTCTGATTATTTGTGGACAACACAACATGCATATACTACATTTCTATATCAGATAATTTTCCAATATGAATTCGTCTGTGTTAGCTTTTTATTGAAAGAGTTATTTATATTCAAATTTGTTGCATGAATAAAAGTAGATTAATTTTCAAAACTCAATAAAGAACTCATATTCTATTTGTACTTTTTCGTATTTGTATTGATATCTAAAATTCGAACTTTGCAAATTTCATATTTTTAATTTGTTAGTTTAAAAGAACGGAAAATGACTATTTTTGGTCCATTCGTTTCCTGAAAATATCAAGTTTTGATAGAGTCGCCATCTAGTGAGGTGCTTTTTTAGGGCTTTTTTTCTTAATACACTTCTTCATTGCTACCATTATTTTGTAAAATTGAAGTAGATGGAAACTGTTTAATATATTGAATTTAAATGACACATCACATGATCAAACGCCGAGAAATCTCTCACATTATTTATAATCATAACAAATATGTAATTATAATATTAGTAACTAATATATACAATATCTAGCTAAAACAAAAATTTGATTCTCGTTTTCTAAACGTAATAATTGGCTATTAGAGAATAAAATATTAATATAACTAAAGTCTCTTAAGGCGGTAACTATCCACTGTTTTATAACACCAAATATAAAATTAGTATAACAGTAAACTCTAAAATAGATACAAACGAAACATTAATCAAATTGAGTCTTATAATTATTATAGTAAACCGTTTTGAAATATATATTTTAAAGAAGTAAAAACTATTTGTTAATTTTGTTAAAAAGTTGTGTTACATGTTATTAATATTTTTTTATTTATATAATTTTTATTTAGGAGGAAGAAAAGACGTGTCACGACATTTTTCGCTAGATTTATTATAAATTGTCGTAATTTCCAATGTATATGGCGCATAGTGAATTTGCTTTTGCGTAAAGCATATCTACCAAACCAACGATCACAGGACATATGCTTAAAATCTATAATGAGTCTTGTTTCTATGAAGATATGGTTTGTTTCTATATTCACATTGAGCGGTGGCCAAGTGCGTTGTTATTGGTGGATGGTCTGATGGCGTGATACTTGTCTGATATTTCAAAATTTGTTGTAATTAGAAATAACAGTTTTGCGTTTGCGCAGGTACATAAGTGAATCAAATGTATACGATTGTACATGTTTCTTCTTCCTCCTACTCAATAGAAGATAGGAATTTTGATAACTAAGTCAGCGATATGTACTGCTATATTTTTATATGTGTATACATAAAAAATACTATATAGAGTTCTTAAACAGCAATATTTAAATAGAGGTCGACTCTCAACAACGAAATAATGAGATGCATTCCATTTGAATATGAACTACAATCTCTTTCCTACATTTGACATAGGAAAAGGACACATGACATTTTAGAAAAAGCATTAAATTTTCAACCTTTTTAGAGTGAATATGAAAACGCACAGGGTTTATAAACTGAATTAATCATCAATAACAAATTGGTTGGGATCAAAAGAAATAAAATAATAAAAGAACTATATTAGTCAAGTGATTGGATAAAAAACTAATATTTAAAAACTCCTAAAAACGTCCAAATACCCAAATGTTTGAAAGTTGATAAGTCATAGTAGTTGGAACTGAATAAACAATCAAATTTACTTCATTTCCATAAAATAAAGAGTAATTATGATCATTTCCGAGAAGAATTGCTCGCAAATTTTTAAGATGACAAATATTTCAGTTTCGTTATCAAATTCTTAAAAACACGTAAAAAATTTACATAATAAAAACATCTTTTCTCATTCTTTATATGCCGTTATCTTTGTACCTATTTTTTAACTGTCCATCTTCAACCCTTATGGCGAGAAAGAGAAATGTAGATATTAGTTGATTTTCTTAGAATTGTATATTTCAAATGGGATATTTGTAGGTAAATGTTTTAATGGGCACTTTTACAATTTGTAAGTTAATATATTTTATATACACCCATATAATATATATTTCTTACATATAGATATTAAAATAAAATATATATATTTTAAAGAATCAGAAATAGAAGTTTATATAATTATACTATTTACTCAAGTTGTACATAATATTAATCTTTTACAATCATAATTGATAAAGTTATAGCTCTTTTTAATGAAGTCATTTAAAACACTAATTTGTTGATACGAAATTAAGTCATATACATATTTGTATTTCTACATTCCAACATTATCAGAGTTGAATATTATATTATATGAAACTATATGTAAACTCAAACTGTATAATTTGAAGTGTATATCTTTTAACTAAATTCATATATTGAAATATTTCAAATGAATATTTCAGATTTATAAATTTTCTGTTTATTACTAAATAAGTGTACAACCGAATAACTTAGTGCTCTAACATTACGTGCTTGTTCACGTTATCACGCGGGCTCAGGTGCGGGCAACGTCCGAAATATATCAAATAATATCAAACACAAAGCATAATAACGCATGCGCGATGTTAATAGCTGGCGAGCTCGCTGCTGACGTCGGCATATCGAACGTTTGAAGTTTTTCATGTCTTGTAAATTCAAGCAGTTTGAATTATCACTACAAACGGTAACAGATTTTCATCGTGTCATTAAATAAAAAAGTACTGTACTGTTTACAGTACTGTAGCTTGAACTAGAAATCTTATTTGGCAAAGGAAACATTAAACTTGAACAAGCACTAAGGCGATTATCGCTTGCACTCGGTTTCCACAATTGGTTCAATTGTTCTCACTATACTATTATTGTTCAAAGGATGTTTAGGTTATTTTTGAATTCAAAGTTGGTTGTTATAAGAATTTAAAGCGTTTGGACCAAGTGCCGAATTACCTCTATCATAGAACACATAATAGCGTTAGAGCGGTCACGTAAAACTCATTTTTATTATCAGCACTGGTTACAAAGACACCGCTCAACCTTTTTCGACATTCAGGATACGATTTTTCTTTTTATATAAAGTAAACTGTAACATTAATAAATTTCTCTTAAACTTTTAGAATATAATTAGGATATGTCAATTTATTTAAATCGATATGTTGCATAGACCGTGGAATAATAAGATTTTATAAATGTTGGTGTAACTGGGTCTAAATTACTGAATTTATAATTAGTACTATTCGTCCGATTCTGGCTCCGATACAAGGTTACGCCGTTTGATTTAGTCTAGTTTGTGCAACAAAATTGTGGTAATTATGCGTTCATTTGAGTGCATTGTGGAACGCTACTACAGAGGATCGGACTACCAAAAAAACAAAATATTTATATCAATAATTATGATTGTAAATTGATACAAAAATATTATTTTATATTTATTTTTTGTCTCATTTACAAATTGCCATTGAAAACGCTAGGGCAAACTTGTGTACGTTTTTATTATAGTGCAACACTAGTGAACGATCGCTATTCTAACCTTATTTTGTGTTCTATGGTGAATATATACAAACGATGATAAATTTTTAATATAAATTAAGAGTTTTTATTCAATAAGACAAATGTTCATAACCCAAGGAATAAAATCTTGGAGTTTCCAAAACTTAACAAACGATTCTTGAATAATCCTAGGTTTATACTTGTGAAATATTGATAAAACTGTTTTTATAATTTAACGGAGTAGGGAATTATGTTTTGCAGTCTTGAGGTTGTTCTGAAGAATCGTATAAAGAAATCCTGCTGATAGTTTTTAAAACTTTTTTATGATTTCATGAGTGCAAATATATCTAATGTTAAAATTTGTTTATATTAGCGGGTTATTTTTCTAGTTTCAATGAAAAAGGACATTACCAAGTCAGCTTTAATATACACATATATGTTTTTTAATTATAATTGAATCTTTTAAGTTTAGATTTCGTGCTGTTGATGTCCAACTGTAACTTCTAGAATAAGTAAATATAAGATTAATAAGCTTGCTCAAAAAGTATAAAAAACTTATAAAAAAAATATATGCACACAGGGTGTAATGAAATGTTCCTTTTGTATTATAAACTTTTACAAGTTCAGGTTAGTGTTTCGAAACGAAAGATGCTATTATGAATATTGAAGATGCAATAAAAACATAATTTAAGACGATTCTAAATGCTTACACTTGCGAGCAAAAATATCGCGCGTGTTGATATCGTGCATTATTACAAAAATATACCGTTTATAGAAAATATATTGTAATAAATAATGAGTGCTACTATGAAGTTTGTTTGTTATAAAAAGATTTTTGCTGTTGATAAATCAATGTTCTTAAGTTTAAAATAGTTCGTTTACATTATCATGCGAGAGCTACCTATATAGTATATATAACGTAGTTACTAGTATTAAAAATAATATTGTAAAAGATCAGTTACACAATTTAGTTTTAGTAAGCTTTTTGAATAGTCATTTGTGAAGTTATTGTTAATATTTTGAGAGTATTACCATGATTTTGCTCGTAAGTGTACCTAGTTAAATTATTTGCATACTTTGAGAATTAAATTCACCGTGTGGAAAGAAGTTGCTAATAAATAATATATTACTATTAATGTCTTAAATGCGTTTAACGTACATTTTTTTTTCAATAATAAGTAACACATCACTTAAATAAAACCGACTGAAGAAATGCTTTTTAGTTTGTAGATTTTGCGAATAAAAAACATGTAATATTATATATTTTGTAGCTGACGCTAGACAGCATATATTTTTTGTAAGTAATATTTTGTAAATACTATTGATTAGGATATTATCACAATTTAATGAATTTCACTGTGGTGCCATGGTCGTTACCATTTTTCTCTAAAAAAAAAAAAAAATCATATGCAAAATGGATAGATGCTATAGATAATATTGGAACTATAAAGCCTAAAATAATGTGTATTTCGCTTTTATATTTATACGTTTTGTGTATGATTGAATAAAATTATATAAAAAAGATTAATTAAATCTACAAGTGTTTATTTTTGGACAAGTTTTCTTAATTATTGTTTAAGCAAATATGTTTTATTATGTAAAAAACTTTTTATCTTTTAGTTGATAAGTTTACGATATGTACAAAAACTAGATTACTTGGTGTTTTAATAATATGAATATTGTTTTTTTTTTATTACTACTACTTCGTTTTTGTATTATAAATAATTATTTTAATGTAAATATGAAAAGTTTGAGAACGATTGAGATTATTAAATTTAATCTTACCTTACTTTTAAGTTTTAGCAAATTTTAATTATAAAGTTGATATTAACAACATAAAAATTATATGTTCTCTGATGTTGATTAAATCCTTATAACTTTTTATAATTTCGAATTTATTTTCACGAAATTTCTTGAGAATATTTTCTTGATTGATTGCTTTTTTTTATTCGCTATTATCGTATACACATGTGCTTCAATTGTTTTTTTTTTACTGTCGAAATGGCGGCGGCGTTTTAATGATTTTATTTTTTATATTATAACATTGATTCCGAGAGTGATGCTAATATTTTTTTATCACATTAACGTGCCAGTATCGAGAAACTAGATAGATAGTTTATAGATATTAGTAATGGTTGATAGTTATTCGAATGGATCCCATCATATATTAACATTAATATTATGTTTCTGCACCTTGATCACGAGAGTTTTAAAAAAGTAAACCACTTAAATAAATTTCACTAGATGGCAGTACTATCAACGAAACATTTCTGTGTATTCAGAAATCGGAGCGATGATATAATAAAAATTCGATATTTTAATATTGAAAAGCATGGAGAACTAATTCATATAACTCCTACTTGTATTACTAATTTTGAAAATTAAATTATTATACATCAGAAAGAAAGTCTGAACGTATTTCATAGATAGCGTGATGCTAGATATGATGTCAATATGTCAAAGTACCCAATGACATTTATTTCATTTCGAGAAATATTTTCTTTTTCAGAGAAGAGAAAAGAAAAAACTTGTATGAATAAAGGCAAGTAAAGGTTACAATACAAACGATTGCTATTTTTGCTCTATAGAAATACATATATACTGTTGTACACGAATACGATCACATTGCCATTAAAAGGACAAGCAAAAGAAATACAGTTTGATATTTAGTCACACATCAAACAACTCAAATCTGGCGGTTTTTTTCATTGCGACTTAAAAATTCAACGAATTCTGCCATCCATTTTATTTTTTATTATTTTTAAAGTCTGAACTTCATAAAACAATGAAATTTACGGCCGCCATTTTAAATTAATAACAAGTCGATATTTTTGAATGTTGTAGATGTGGTAGGGGATCCAGAACAATAACTTTATTCGAGTTATATTCCTACTTATTTTTATTTATTTATTTTAGTATCTCGAAATTAGGCAACTAAATTCATACGTGCATGACTCTTTGTCGCTTTCAAACACCTGGAACACGTTCTAAATGAATTTTAGCACTGTCTTTATTTTATTTTAATTTCACAATTGTATTTGGCTGTTATATTTAATTTTTATTGGAGTTTTTTTTAATTATCTCTTTTTCTTTTTAAGTTCTGTTTTGATTCAATGATGTGTCATGAATGTAACAGCTAAAGATAAGCTTGCGCGCAGCTGTGTATATCGTACCTGTGGGGCTCAAATATGTTCCAAATAGTACTAACTCTGACCTTATGACCATTTGGAACGGGACAATACGCACAACATAAAACGCTGGGTCTTTCTTGCTTACAATACCCTGGTGGCGGGTGGGATATGAAACTATTCCGATTGTGTTATAATCCTGATTGAGTATTAAAAGAAAAGAAACAATCGTAGTAGAGTTCGGAACGCGCGGCGGCGGCACCGTCATTTTCAACAATGGCCCTTCGAGCCGGACTTAGGTTCTTCGAACTGATTCTGTTTAAAATTCAAATAAACCGCCCGCCGCCCCGCGTTGTTGCAGCCTCATAGGAACGACGACACACAGCGCGCGCTTACCAGACGCTCGCTTTCCAGGTGGCAGATCCAACGCCGGAGAAGTGACGTCACATCCGCAGCCGCAACGTGTGTCGACGTTCCTCCGCATCTTACGGACCTCACTAGCATAGTGTAATTTTCTTTTGTTTCACTCTTTTTTTTACTCATCACGGACGGTTTTGACTCCTAACCTCGACACTTTTAAATCAATTAATAATAATATAACTGTTTGCGTGTTACTGCTCATCGGTTGATGGTGAGACTACATTGGTCAGCTTTGGAATTGTTTAGATCAGTGGTTCCTAGCCTAGGGTAATTAAACCCCACGGGTGTATTCCATTTTTTGGGCATAAACAAAAAAAATAAGGATTAATAAAAAAAACCATCTCAATGTTTTAAGACTTGCTATAAGTTAAAATAAACACGATAATAACAAGGTCAACGCGTCCAAGGTTAAGTTTTCTTAATAAGTTATAGATGCTACCATCATGAAAAGGTTACAAACCACTGGCTTAATTCATAACCTTTGTTAGTTTTATAATCTACAGTATATACTTACTTACGCGGTGGGTTTTAGAGTTTCTTTTGATAAGATACTGTGAGTTATTATTTCAAATAAGAGTTAAACCTATTTGGTTCATATTTAAATTTTGAACATCGCCTTGAATAAAGAAATTTATGCAATATGATTATTTTGATATTCAAATGTATACTTTCTTCTTTTCCTTGAATGAACTAACATTTTTTATTTTTATTTAAATTCGCCGACTAGTATTGGTGATTTGTAAAATATTATCTAGGTATAAATAAAAATATAAAAACTTAGGTAAATTTGACATAAAAAGCAATGACTTTGACTATGAAATGTTGTCTAGTTATATATATATATATATTTATAAGTGATCAAGTTTTGATGTTTATATGTGAAAACAACCTTCTATTTGTTTTCAAAAGTGCAATATATGTGTTTATACAGCGTGCGTAATCTATAAATACTTTACCATCAAATTAAAGCGATGTGACAGTTTAGTATATGAATTTAAAAAATATATAAATATCTCTCAAGCATTTAAAGGGCGTACATATATAGCATGTGTATGTCAACTACTTTACAAAAATACTAATTAAATCTTCCCTGTCTTCTTTCAGCCGGTGTTGTCATGTGAATTTTCTCTGCAATAATATAAACAATCTACTATTGAAAGATCAGATTTATTTTGAGTTTATGCGTTACTAATAAAGAAGTATTAATCATTATTTCTATAATATAGAGTAGTTGTACATAACAGCTAGTCAGGTTACCGGTTTTAACCTGAAGGTTTATAATTAACCGTAGAAATTTGATATTTTGTGATTAAACTGATGTAATGTTGATTGTGCCTTTATGGAAGAGAAATATAAACGAAACTGAGATTCTGACAAGGTTTTAATACAGATCATATTTATGTTTAAAATAATACGTACAAATAATCTTTTTATGAAATAGTTGTCCATAAATTACGACTTCAAAATTGCTGTAAAGAAAACATCTAATTGATCGCGCACCAAAAATACGATTAAAAAAGACAAAAAATAGAAAAAAAAAGTTATTGCTTCTCTACAGTTGAAAATAAACTATAGTTTTAATAGTATAATATCTACTTAAAATTGTATATAGCGAGTCAAAACCGTCCCAAAATTTGTGATGGCGGAAGCCAGGTGCTGGACGCTACAAATAAGATGGCTATCACTTATTTGCATGCAGTGTCTATTTCGAGTAGTTCTATATTTTTCTAACTTGTAAAAGTGTTTACTAGAGCAAAATTTTATTTCATTATCTCGTTTCGTTTGAACGGTTTTTCCATGTGTTAGAAAAAGATGGAGCACGTGAAAACTAGGCGTCGTGCATATGATCGGGTTGTAACCTAGTGGGCGATTTTAAACTTACATTCGATTGGACTTCAAACATGACGCAATTGTTTATGATGACACTTATGACAATGTAAATAGAGTCTTGTTTGTGGGTCATCGTTTGTATAATATATCAATGATAGTATATGATCAAATATATATATATATTTTGTTTATATTTCTTAACATAAATAATATTAATTATATTTCTTCAAAATTTAAGTTTTAACATGTTGGTAGTTAAATTATAAATCGGTAACGCAATTTTGACACTGTTGTAATTTCAAAAATCCAAGTTTTCTCATTTGTCACTGCTTATGCTCGAAAAGGAAATCCAGTATATTGTCATTGATATACTTTATTTGAAGGAATGACTGATTGGAATTGAATAGTGTACTAAAAAAGTTATTAACCCCCGGTTTCAATAACCAAAAAACTACCCGTTTTTGCTACCATCCGTAGCATTTCCTACCGATGGTAGCAAAAAAGTGTTTCAATAACATACCATCGGTAGGTAAAGCTACCGACGGTGTGCTACTAACGGATTGATCTGATACTGATAACCGTTCGTAGGCAAAATGTATGAAAATGGCGCCAAAAGGTGTTTCAATAAAAAATGTATCCGTCGGTAGAGCTGTCAAACTTACTGTCCGTAGGTATTTTGTCAACCCGCCAATTTTGATCGGTTGTTGCGTACCGATTGTTATATTTCACGAAGTTTGTAATTTTTATATCACTTTTTCCTAATAACAAAATGAGTAGTAGTTCAGAAAGTGATATAGAAATGTTGAACTTGTTATCAGACTGGGAAGACTCTGATACAAATGACGAAAATAGGCGTTCTAAAGTTTATAAAACAAGACCGGACTACTTAACAATATTAGATGACTTTGAGTTTCAAATAAGGTTTCGGCTCGACAAATCATCTGTAGAACAAATATTAATTGAAATTTATCCCTTTCTTAAAGTTACAGGAGCCAGGTCAGTACTTAATTGTGGTTTAATAAAATAATAAACGAGTAAAATTGTAACATTACAAAATGTATTTATTATTTCAGGAATTATGGTGTATCTCCTTTACATCAGTTGCTATTAGTTCTAAGGTTTTATGCTTTGGGTACAATGTTACTATCAGTAGCTGATTTTGCAGGCGTATCCAAAGCAACAGCTTGTCGCATTGTATGTAATGTTAGTTGTGCTATTGCACAATTGTATAACAAATATATTTATATGCACAATAATACTGAAGAAGATTTTTATTTGATTTCACAATTTCCACGGGTTCTGGGTGCAATTGATGGAACACACATCCGAATACAATCTCCATGTAAGTATTTTTTACATTACAATTCTTATTTAACAAACTTAGTATACTTTTAGGTCCTTATAATATTTTGGCACTTTATTTCATAATACACAATACAACTTACTTGTTTATAACTTTTTCTCATAGGTTCTCAGATTGGAGAGGAATTTCGAAACAGAAAAGGCTATTTTTCATTAAATGTGCAAGCAGTGTGCAATGCCAAATTATTTTTTATGAATGTTGTGGCTCGTTGGCCAGGTTCAGCCCATGATGCTACTATATTCAACAATTCTGTACTAAAAGGTAAATTAGTATTATTATATAAACTATTCTATGTGCATATAAAAAAGTAAAATTAGTATTATTAAAAGAAACTATTTTATATAAAAAAAAAAACAATAATCATAATTTACCCAACAAAGCTATAAGTTTCCTAATTAAATTAATTAAAAATTAAATGTATTATCATCCTAATATAATAAATAATTTTACATTATTTACATTAATAGCTATTTATTTGTGATAAGTAATTCAAATCATTATATTATAATTTCATTTTTAGCTCAATGTGAAAGTAATTGCTTTGGAAATCGTTGGTTACTTGGTGACAGTGCATATCCATTAAAGCCCTATCTTTTGACACCATTATTGAACCCAGTAACTGCTGGTGAGCAATTGTATAATGAAGCTCATATTAAAACCAGAAACACTATTGAAAGGTACCTTTAAAAAATTTTCATAGAAGTAATGCATTTAAAATATATTCATTAGAATTTTAAAAGTATTTTGTTTTTAATCTATAGGTGTTTTGGCATCTGGAAGCGTAGATTCCCAGTTATGGCGCTAACTATGAGATTGAGTCTTCCTCGAGTAAATTCAATTGTAATAGCAACCGCTGTACTTCATAACATCTGTCGCCAAAGAAGTCTCGATGATTTGCCCTCCGAGATCACCATTCCAGATGCTGAAGAAGTACCTACCAACAATACAATAGATACCAATTATAGTTCTGAACGTGGAACTTTAATAGCAGAATATTTCAATAAGTAAGTTATAATGGTGATTTATTGTCACTAAGCAATGTTCATTATTGAAAATATATTTTAAAATACTGCCTATTATAACTAAGTATATATTTTTAAGAAGTTGCAGCATTTTTTTAACTTTTCAATTCTAACATTAATTAGAACTACATTATGTTATTTATAAATTAATATGTACATTAAAGATTTCTAATTTTAATACCTAAATGAGCTAGTTACTTATTCATAATTTATATTTTTAGTTTAGTGATCAATCAGTGACTAGTGACCAGTGACCAGTACAATCAACAACCTAGGTATGTTTACAATCTTGTTCTTACAATTAAAAACAAGAACTATCAACCTAAAAACCATTATGTAATACGTGCTTAATTACTATTGTACCTGCTTATGATTTTTTTGGTGTTGTGTGTGGTGCAAACTTTGAACCATTCATCTTGAGACAACTTCAAGCACGTGACTTGTGGAGACGATGCCTTGTATAACGAATCCGCTCGACGACTTTCACAAGCGTCAGCGTCAGAAACATACATCAGCAGCTGCACAGTACACTCTTGACACTCCCAATTAGACCCTGATATTGTTACGTGCTTTTGCTACACATCACCATCACAGTATTATCTTGCACTGTATCAGTTTTGGTCTCACAAACACTGTACATGTATTGTAACTACATCATAAACATAGTTCCCACTAAAGTAAAGTTAAATAAATTTAAACATAATGAAACTGACTGAGCATCGCTGCCGGTCGACGCTTTAATGATTAATCAAAAGGTCCTCTTCAACTTGTTTTGATTTGGTTCGGCTGCCTGAAACACAGATGGCCCGAAAGAAGAGCGGCGCCACCTATTAGCGGAAGGTGGTATCAATCGTGTAGTCAGAACCGAACGTTAATTACATTTACGAATTCTTACTGTATTTATGTATGTATACGTAGGTTAGCTGTAGGCATATTTGTATCTACCATATTGCTTTACACAATCAGTTAATTGAAGACAGACAAATTCACAAAATAGGTATTAATGATTCACATTTAATTGAAATTCTTATTTTCAAACATATGTTTACTTTATTAGCGTTTAGCCTTTTTCTCAGAAGCGTTTATAGTTTTATAATATATTTCTACTTGTTTATTTTAAATATACGTTTTTAAGAGAGTGCGTCCACCAAATATCATTGATTTTGAATTGGTTTTATACAAATAAATATCGTCAGAGTAGCAAGCAAACTAAGTTAAAAAATACGGAATCTGCATCATATTTATATGGGTTAACAAACGAAACTATAAAAAAAGTTTACCCTTTTTATTTCATCTATTTCATATTGTATACCTACACTTTTATAGGGAATATTGATAAATATATAAGCCACTTTTGTAACCGAAGGGTTTATGTTGCACTTTCACAATATTATAGATTGCGTGTAATTTGTTAAGAATCGTACTCCACTTAAAAACGAATTTGACGTCACATAAACACGTTTACAGGAAACTTTGCTATTGGTTATTAACTAGGCACTTGTTGTGACAACAAACAATGAATAAATGAATGTAATTTTGACATAAACTACTTTTGTTTTATTAGTTATAATTATTAATATAATTCTAATTAATTAAGATAGTTAATTAGAATTATATTAACAGATAGATCTCTATCGATATAATCCCGTGTACACCACCACATTTTAACAGTTAATATAAAATGTTTTATGACATGTACACAATTCGAACGTTTATTTAATTTTCAGGTATATAATAAAGGAAAACTGCGCACCCATTTAATGATTGTGGCTTTAACAGTAGATGCAAAGGACAGGGATGCAAGTACACCAACAGTTTCCAAAAGTATTAAGATTATCAGATTATGAAGAGTTACGGACATGGGTACTTCGATAATTCCGACGTGTGAAGGGAATTATGCCGGAGGAAAGAACGACAAAACTGATATAAATTTCTGTCACTACGGTTGTGATACGGAATATTTCAGGAGCCGAAATCTTATTTGAAACTAAAAATCATCTAAAATTGTTAAGTGGTCCGGTCTAGTTTTATAAACTTTCGAACGCCTATTTCGTCATGTCTTACCAGTCAAGTCTTATTTCTTAACCTTTATAATTATTATAATGACAAAGAAATACTGAAGTACATTTTAAACACAATATCTACCTATATTTATGTAATCAATTATGATTACAAATATTGCTTAATAAAAAAAAGACAGTGTACTGTAGACTCGAAAGTTTTTATTTGAAAATAATATAATAAATAAATGTAAATTATTCAGTTAAAAATTAATTATTATTATTTATACTCTCTTTGAGTAATTGGATTTCTAATTCTAATTTCTCGGTTTTTTTTTCGTAATATTTAGCTATCGCTAAATTACGCTGCAGCACCCCTGTGTCTTGATGTCTGTTTCTAAATTTACCTGAAATAAAAAAGACATCAAATGATTAGTGTTTTATTTAATTTTGGTCTGATCTTTTTTATATCTCAAAGGAATTTTTACTTATTTATTGTTATTAAAACTCAAAAATTATATTAAAATACATTTCTAATTTTAGTCGAATTAATTACCTACGCTTATTAAAATGCATGTGTTAATTATGATTTAAGAAGCTACGGGCGCATTGGTATTTTTTCTACCACCGTGTTTCTGTAATTTGTATGCAAATCACCCAATTGTTACGTGTACACGTGCATGCAACATGATAAGGATTCTCAGGCACGGTGACAGGAGGCAAAAAGTCATAGTGATAGAAAGTCACCAGGACATGCCTAGCCTAATACTTTTGACATGTTATGTTTTTACAAATATTGATATTACACATATAAGTATTTGCAATTTGATGATGAAATCAGTGTCATGGTTTAAGTAGTAAATATTTTTAAATTCAACTATTTGTAACCCACCTTTGAATTGTACAGATTTTGACATAGGCAAACCAGAAAAGGTGGGACTGCAGATCCTTTTTGATTTACTTTTTTTTGCTAAAAAAGAAAAACATGATAATAAAGCATTAATAAGGTCATTTGTTTTGATTGTCACTGGATAGCGATAGTGCTTTTCACAACTTTTTTGTTTGATGCTAGCAAGAATGTAATAGGTGGGAAGTTCATAGTCGAGTTTCGGTATCGATGATAAAAAAATGTATTGAACTTTTTTAACAATTAAAGGTATAAAAGATTCTAATCACAAAAGGCATTAAGACTTATTCTGGGTGACATAAATTACCAATACCTACAGCAAAAAAAAATTACAGGTTCAAAGTCGATTGAAGTATGCTAACAAGTTTGTATTATATTCACACGAGTAGGTATTCTGTGAAAAAAAATTATACCTTCACTCGGATTGTACTCTTCCTCGGAAATGTTTTGTGATGCATCATTTCTGTCCGCTGAGTCTTGTATTTCAACATCACTGTCTTCCACCAAAACTACATTGTTATCGCTTCTGTCACCACCAAAAGAAACTTCAAAGCCCGAGCAGGTTGACCCTAAAAGACCTGCGACTTTGTCTAAAATGTCGTCTGGGGGTATACCCTCTGGTTTTCCACCACCCGTCTAAAAAAGATAATACATCAGTAGGTACATATCTAAGTAGGCAACATCGTGTAACTGTTTTTAAAACTACTTCACCTACCTACCTACTAAGCATGTAATACCAGTTACGCGAGTAAGTATTGGCGATGGTTTGTATATTTTAGTGAAAAACCGCTGCTTTGTTAACCTAAAACACGGCGGTATATTTTAATCTACTTCGATCAACAGCTATATTATACTATACAACATCACATACATTGCTCAGATTTTAAGAGGAGTAGTTAAAGCCCCCGTATTATGGAGTATCTGTGACAACGACGACACCACAATACACACAACCGAGACGATATAAAAAAGTCAATTTTCTATATTGACCTGACCGGGAATTGAACCCGGAACCTTGGAGATGGCAACACTTTGAAACCGGCGGTCGAACTACTTGGCTGCGGAGGTCAAAATATAACATATAGTCAACTAAACTACATCAACTAAACAGTGGTCTTTGGGCTAAAAACACCTAACTTCGAAGGAGACAATTTTTGCTGTCCCTTTTACAGTTGCCATAATCAAGACGAACATTATATAAACTGTTGATGTTCTTTATGTATAGGCATAAATGAACCCACACTAAAAAAGTAGGATACATTTTTAAGAAACGGCACAAATATCTAGCAACTACATGATAGCAAAGCTATGAAATGTATAACCTTGAGATTGTTCATCCGAAGCAGCTGACTTCTTTTGCGAGCAGCTTTTTTTAAATTATCCCATTTTAATTTGAGTTGTTCTTTGTTTCTGGGGATAGACAAACACTTTGCATTGAAGGATGTTGTGACAGACAACCAAGCTTCATCTTTAAGCTTATTTGTAGTGGCATTGGTTGCCTTTGTCATTAACGCTGGTTTATCTTGTATTAATTCAACAAGATAAATGACCTCATCCTGAGTCATAGTTTTTTTGGTTTTCTGTAAAAAATATGTTGGGTAATGTTAGCGCCGAAATTAAAACAAGTCTTTTAAAGATTGAGACTATATACAATCTCACATACAATAATAATAACATAAAATAAACAGGTTTAATACAAATCTGAACTTACCATAGTAGTCATCCTTATAATTTTATTTCTTATTTTATTCGTGGATATAAAATTAAAAAATAGGAAGGCAGGCACTCCACTTTATTTTATTTTATAATAATTACGCAACAATGCTTATCTTAAAATAAATAAATTTAACCGCCAAAACCACTAGATATCAATATCCTCAATTTAAAAAAAAAGTTTTTAATTATGAGTTTTCTTATCACTATCACAGTTGCATTAATTTAATTAAAAAGTAATAAATTATATAATTCAGGTAATGTAGAAAGATTTTACATTTATTTTTACTTCTAAAAAGTTTAGTTATAACTTTTATTAATATATCTCAATAATAAATTAGAAACAATATTTAATTATGTAGTCAACATTTGAACTCTGATCTTCCTCAATCTTTCTATTTTAGCTTAAATGCACGTTGGAAAATTCTAAAGATGCATTGCAACATCGAACACTAACGTTTTAGTGTGAAAAATATTATTTAATACAAGTCTGTACGGGTGAGACCTCGTTGTCTTTACTTAAGAACTGAAATTAAAAAAAAAATTGGCTACCGACAACCGTTCGTAGTTGGTAGGCGCCTACCGATGATTGTGAAACGCAAAAACGGATAGTTATCGGTAGCTCAAAAAACCGTCCGTAGGCTGCTACCGACGGTTGTCGGTAGATTATTGAAACCGGGGGTAAGTGAACATATATTATCGAAAACAAATTAAAAAAAAAAATGTTGCACTTTTCTCTTCAAAATCAGTCGACAAATAACGTCTTGGTGAGATTAAGTTGTAAGTTTTTAATTACTTTTATAAGAATGATCAGTTTAGATCTTTATAAATCTTTTGTCTTGTTGATCAGTTGCTATACTGTAAAATAATAACATTAGCTATAACCAGTAGTTAAACTTTTATTTGTCTCCCTAAACAACGTAACTTGTTTTTTCAAGGACTGTTGTGAATCGTTTAGTTTTTTTAAATACTTTAATAAGATCCGAGAACGAGATACCGTCAGAGTAGTAGTTTCATTTACATTGTATGAAACGTAGTTTGTTGAGAACGTTTACAAAGTAAGTCTTACGGGAATTGGTATGATTTCTGTTGCCTTACTATTTAAGTTATAATTAGTTTACATTAGTAGTATGTTATAATGGAAGCCTGTTATGTTCTTTATAAGTATGGGAGTGTATATATTTTGTATAAATGAGACATACGGTCATTTCGTTTCTAGCGTCCCAAAGCACCTGTTTGTGTGGTATGGTTGATCAGACAGTGTCTTTTAAAATTACGCCGCCGAACAAACTATTGTTACTAAATAGTCAACGTATTATTGTATTTATTGAAGAAATATAGAAACTGTATGATACTATTAATATGCTAAAGCAATGAATCGGCCAGGTTTCTTAATGAAAAAAAAAAATGTGATATGATGTTTTCGACTCAGGTATGTAACGGTTGTAATGTAATATTGTTGTATATGTGTATACGTAATATTTAATTTTTCTAATAAGCTAAATAAAATAAAACGCATTGCAAGGAGAACTATATAAGTCTTATTAAAAGCGCGTTTTTCGGGATTGTTTTTGCAACGCTGTGATTTTTTTATGATTAAACCTTTTTATGAAGTCGGTAAATTCATCCACGGTTTCAATAGTTAGATAAAAAAATAATCTATTTCATGTTATATTAGAAAATTTATAGTATGCCAGAGCGAGAGAGAGATAGTGATAAATTTATAACTAAATACTGTTTTAAAAGTAGACTACATCAATTTAGGTGAATTGTGGATGAATATGCAGATTTACATTGATATGACTTGCCAACGGTTATCTGCAGATAGAAATAGGAAAATATATGACTAAACTTTACCTACAATTCACGTGAAATGCGTTGTTTTCTTAGTTGTTTGTATGTATTTCGGATTACTATACGCAATGAACACAGCATTTTCTGATAATAAACCTTAAATATATATATTTTTAATCTTTTGAATTATTTAGATGATGGGGTTGTATATTCTTGTTATTTATCGAAACATTGGTGATCTTTTTGGACCGAACGGTATAAATTATTGCATTTCTTATTAGTTTTAGTAGTTATATTTAATTTGTGATGTTTGATAAATATATCAGAATGGAAGATGTTATCATTCGTTGTTAGATATAACCGTATATGTAGTTGTGTATGAAACAGCTAACGTGATGAATGAAATTATTTAGCCAATGATTTATGTTTTTAGTTAATATTGATTTAAATGCGCGATGTGCTAAGTTTTTCCCCATCAACGGAATTATGATACTAGTTTGTAATTAAAACATTTTGGTCCAAATTAGATCACCATATTTAGGCAGATGTAAGTCTTAAAATTTTACACTATCAAAATGAAAAAAAAAGTAAAAATATTAAAAAAATCTGGTTTGTCTAGTTCGTTTCGCCTCGTGTTGTAGAATTATTAAAAAGATGTTCTTATGAAAGTACTGTCAGTTAGATAACGAATAAACACGGGCATTTAAGAAAGTTGAGATATTTGAGATTCTTATATGTTGACACGAATAACTACTTATGGATATTCTAATTGCTTTTTTCGTGTCTCCATTTATTAATTACTTATCCTATCTGATGTCTGCTCGGTCACAAAAAGTTGCAGAAAAGCTATCAATATGGGTGACGACTAGAAAAATATTAGATACGTATTTTTTTTTGCTTCAATTTAAACAAAAAATGGCTTAGATAATACGCATTGAAGTTGAGGAGTGTAGGCTCGTTACGTCACAGTTTTGTAGAAAATGTAAAAGAGTGACGTCATGCGACATTTCAACTCAATGTATCGCCGTTATTTATTAATTACGCAAAAAAATATACGTATTTAATATTCTCCAATAATCTACCTGAAGGACAAACAAAATTTGGTAAACATCCATATTAGACTGTCCCATAATCTATGATAAAGCTAGTTAAATGTGACTCTTTTTCCAACATGCCTACATTTCAACTAAATAATGTTATTAACGGTAATAGTCTCCTATTTTACCTAAAATTTTTGGGAAGATTCATCATTTGGGTTTTACCCGATGTGTTTTTAGAAAAAAAAACGTATGGTTATAGTCAAAACATTAAATTTTCTTTTATAGTATAAGAAATAATTGAAAGAGAAACAAGATAGTAGAACTTAAAATTGCGGAATACATCGGAACATCTAAAATTATTAATTGCAATAGCTGTCGGTGATTTCTTTTCGAAAATTTTAGGTAATAACTAAACTCTTTGTCACTGATTATTATAAATATATAACGCGTAATTGGATCCATAGATGCTATTGACGACACATCAAATTCTCCAGACGTGTCTGTTTCCTGCAATTGATTTTAAACCTTAATGCGTTGAAGAATAAGTTTGAACATCGAATGCCGGAATTTGATATTTTGTATAACGTCCAATTTCAGGCCCAATTTCCATGGTCTAAACGTGAAAGAGCTCTAAAATTATTTATACTGTATACATAATACTGCCTCAAACAATATTTCCTATTTTATATGCCGGTGATTTCCTATATTTTATTATCTTACAATTTTAAACGTAATTAAGATACAAAACTGTAATTGATTTCATTTATCGTAAACGATTTGAATTTTCCTATAGCGTACCTATCGGTAATTATCAAAAATAAAAATTTTTCACATTAAACTTTAATGCCGTTGATATCGTACGCGTAAGTTCATACTTACTAACATATAAAAAAATATTTTTGCCCGCCATGGGGTGCGAACCCATAACCTTCTGCTAACCGAGCGAGTATTCTTATCATTTAAGCTACCCGAGAATATTTCGTTTCAGTCTCAGAAAAGCACTAGTATTAAGGCCTCGATTCTTTAATGTTAATGTAAAAATCCGTGTTTCCAAATGAAATAACAGCGGGTGATTTTGTTTATTTTTATGATGGCAATTATTTAAATTTAAAAAAGTTTTAGTTCATGATAGTTCGGCAATTTTGCCTTTGATTAATTTTGCTTTTAAACAATAGTTCGTTATTTTGTTGCTGGCCGGATATTTTGAGTTTGTTCGGATAAAAACTATTTGTCGACACAGTACCTACAAAGGAGTTTTGTTTATTTTGTTTTGCTCTATACATGAAAACTAGTTCTCTCTACAATTATATCTTATTATACTTATAGATTTGTTATTTTATACCAGAACTAAGAAAAAATATTAAATCAACATTTTGTTAAATCGAGGCCTTAGTATATTTATTGTTTTGACCTTAGTTTTTGACATAAAATTTTGTTTAAGTTCAGAAATGGCGAATTTGAAATTTTTATTTCCTTAGGTGAAAACTTGAACATTTTATAAATATATTAAAATCGGCTGTAGAGTACATCTTATTAACGAATACGTGATATAAAACTTTGTAAACCCGTCACAAACGTTAAACAGTTATGCATTGCTTACTGTGGTAACTATATATTATACACTACATGTTGCCGCTTATGCGTTGTGCCATCTTTATTGTATTATTGGCTTATGAAAGACTGATTGTAAATAAATATATTTAGAACTGTATTATTTTGTGTTGTTATTGAAAATTTTACTTGTGTATTATACATAAGGAAGAGATTGTTTCGTTCAGCATATCTGAGTGAGATCATCTCAGCTTTACATTGAATATATCACAGTGTTGTCACACTAGTATGCCGTTTAAGGTTATTGGCGAGAAGGCATAGAATATGCATAATTACAGGAAAAATTTGTAATCAAGTGCATACATTTTAATATTATTTCTTCATTGTTAATGTTTCTTTTCTCTCTTTTTGCTTAATTTACCAACATCAGAGATAGAGAAGAAAAATAGATATTTGCAAAGACTTTGCTAATTATAATATCCCTAATGGGTACATTGGAAGATGATGAAAGATTATTACTATTATAACAGTTTAAAAAATGTTTTTACCAAAATGGTGGTTATGCTCTAGGAATAAAACTCCACTGCCACTTAGCGTTTCGATGTTATTTTTAATGGAAAAGTCA